TGTACAGGTAAGCTGCTTAATTTCCACCCCTGTAGATTGTCTTACCACTGAGAGTTTCAGCTTTAGATCCAGGTTTTAGGTTCTGTTGCAGCTTTTTACTTGGTTCTCTTGCTTACTGTGGTGACAACTTCCTCTATTTAAAGTTGTCTGTCACAGACTTGGTTGGCTGATTCTCAAGCTCAGTAGATGAAGAAGGGTTTATTTTTTTATAACAGTAAAAGTGCTCCTTTCTAACACATGGAAAATAGCTTTCTGAACAATCTTCAGTTTATTCTGCTGTAATTATGGTTAATTCATCTATTATTATAATAACATTATTCTTCTAGCATTCCATTTTAAATTGTAAATGTACATGGTGTATATTTGGGAGATCTTTTTGTATAGTGTTATGCCTGGGGAAGAATATGGTCTTGCTTGCTTTGGGCAGATATTGTCCCACTGTAAATAATTTATGGATGCAATAAATAGGGTCTCCCTTTATGGAGGTAGAACTGCTGCAGGCATACTAACTTCATTGAGCTCTTGGCCTCACCTAAATCAGTGAATAACAACAGAATAAATTCAGAATTATTGCAGATTTTAATAGTTGAACCTTCTGAAGCTGCTGTACAGGTAACACCAAACAGTCTTAAACATAAAGATGTAGGAGAGCTGTTCTACATTTGATATGGATTACAGTAGGTACACCTGCCAGCAGACTAATAGGAACTCCTCATTATGTACAGGCTGTATCAGGAAAGCTGTTTTTTTTTTCCTCAGAATCCATTCCCCTGGAATGAACATTATTCTGGACTTGTCATTGACATCACCTCTGAGAGCACATTCAATCAGCAAGAACACATTTGATTTTGTTGCTGGTTAATAAGATGCTCTGCATAGTGTGTTACCGAGCAGCGATGCTCATCATCTCACTTCTGTGCAGGTACAGCTGGAAAACATCAGGGCATAGGGATCTTTGGTGTAAGGTTTGGTACAGCTTTGGCTTTCTCTGCATTCTCCTTCAGGGCAGAGTGGCACACTGCAATAGATGCAGAGCTACCAATCAGGATATTACTCAGCTAAGGTGGCAAAAATAAAAGCCTTTTAAAAAGAAATTGCAGTTTTAGTTAAGTCAGGAGGAATTTGTTTAAATACAAACCTTGGTGTTTTTTATTGTTCTTTGTTAAAATGAAGAGAGAGATCTTGCAAGCGTCCTGTGTAAACTGAGATTTAAACTTAACATTATTCCTAGTCATGCAGGAAGTCGGGAAGAAAAAGAACTATGGATAATCAGTTAAAAGAACTGACAGATACCCTGATGTGTTGATCAGTAGTAATACCTAATTTCTATTTCAAGTGTGCTATAATGGATTACCATATAGATGCAGCAAAGCACTAAGCATTAAATAGATCTATGTGTTTTCTGAAAAAGCAATATTATTTCACACTGTGGGGTTTCTTAAAATATTTCTTATTAGTGTACTGGGAAACTACAAGCAAGATGTCAATAGCCAGTTTGGATTCACAGCGGTGTTGCTAAAAGTCTAGGCTGGAGTGCAAGAAACTATCATTTGTTTCATAGAAATGGCAATATGAGTTTTTGAGAACCCCAGGGGTTGGGAGAGTGAAGAATATATTCTTGGAAATACTGAAAGGACAACGACCCGTGCACGTGCGTGACAGAATATTATGTCGTGCTGTAGCACTATCCTTGTCTTGTGGCTGATGCACATATGTGAAAATTACCCATTAAAAGAGTGTTCTAGCCTTAACTTTGAATTTACTTGTAGGATTCTGAAGTTTTCATTTAATGGTGTAGACCTTTAAACATCCTAATGCATATTTGCACTGCAGGAGCAAACGTGCCCTCTGAATTTAGATGAATTCTGTGCATTTCAGTCTTCTGCAAAGCGCTGATATCTTCCAAAATCACTGTGATAGCAACCTAATTTGATTTTTAAAATGACTTCACCTTACTATTTGGTCATCCCGTGCAGATGATTAAATGCATCTTTGCATTTTTCCAAAGTGAACACACATTTTTTCCTGGTTTTGAGATGCTGAAACAGACAAAGGTGTGCGAAACAACTGAAGTGTCCCAATTCTTGCTGTGTCCGGAGATACTGGGATGCTGAAGCTTTCCCCAGCCAGGAACTTCTGTCCTCTTATTATTTTTTTTCAAACTTTAAATTGTTTTGATTCAGTCACCTGACAGAGGTGCTTTTATTTTGCGTTTTATTCTTATTTATTTATTACAGCTACTTTTTATTTTTTCTGACACCATAGGCATGTTCTTTCCTTCTTCCTCTGTCCTCCCAACACTGTGCAGTTTAAAGTATCATCTGGCTTTTCCTCGTAGTTGTCAGACTCTGCAACAGGATTTTTGTGCCAAAATTGCTTTGAGCAGGGCTTAAAATCAGCTCAGTTGCCAGAGTTACTCTTTCTCAAAATAGATCAGAATTATGCATCTTCGACACATTGTCAGCTTATGCAGCTTACACCTTGTTATAGTTAACTTTCTAGAAGTGAATTTCACTCCAAGTTGAGGTGAAATTTTGCAAGATACCAGATGGCCGTGTATGCTGCATGCTGTCATGCCTCTGGTCTTTCCCAAATAACAGCTACTGTGCTCTGCAGCTTGTAGGGAGGGCATGGTGAGACCTGGCCTGCCTCAGTGTGCTGTTGTGTTCAGGCAGCACCACGAGAGGTGGTTCTTTGGTTCAGTTCTCGATCGTTTGGGATGTTCAAACTGGAGAAACGGCTCTAAGAACATTGTTAAAGCTATTGGGAAATGGGTATTGTTTCTTTTTGCAGCTAAGGAAAACGTTTGTACGTCATCAGATTATTTCCCCAAATTTTTCCCAGTAACAAAATGCCTGGTGTTCAAGTGTATTTCAGATTTGTTCAGTGAAATTGACATCTTTTCCAGGTGTATTTTGTTATTTGTGCAGAAATACTTCATTCTTTTGAAATGTGATCAAATTGGTTCTCAGCGTTCTGAAACAAATGAGAGACAATTTCTGTCTGAGGACAAGCTGAAGGTATCTTGCTTAGGGCAGCCTTTGTTGCTGCGATGATTGCTGTACTTCTTTTACTGATCTAAAAAAACAGAGATAAAGAGCATTTATATATTTGTTTCTGAGATAAATGTGTAAGCACGTGAAGGCTTCTCCCTGTGGTCTATTGTGGAATTCAGTGAGGCTTTCGTTGCTCCTCTCTGGGAGAGTTTTCCCTTGAGGCCTGATGAAGGAGCTCTGGGGATAGCGCTGAAAAAGAGCACGGCAAGGACATGAGGAGGATGAGCCTGATCTATTTATCTATTCACTTTTAGAAATGCCAAATACTATTTGGGGAACATGTGCTGTGGATGTAAAGGAAGAGCAGTCTGTCTGTATGACCCGAGGTCTGGTTCCCTAAGTCTGTGAACCTCTCATGACTTCCATCTTCTGCCATGGAGAAGGGAATGCTCCATCTTCTATAGATCGTGACTTTCAGTGTTGTATACAGTTGCTGCAGCACTTTGTCGTGAAAAATAAAAACACTGTCATAATCCATCTCTCAAGCATAGTGTTTTTAACAGCAGTAATGATTCATGTGCAGGCCGTCTCCGAAGGATGGCCTGAAACACAAATTGTTGCTTTCTTGGCTGTGACGCTTTTATTTCTTCTTGTGAGCTTTTATGTGCAAAAGACCAGCAAATGGGTCACCACTGCTTCAATTACTTGTCATTCATTGTGCATCCTGCATGTGGTTTTTCTGAAGACTTGATGGCATTTCGTTATGCAGAAATTTATTCTGGTGATTTTGTTTGATGATTAAACCCCGACTGCTAGTCATGTGTGGGATTGTTCAGTTTGATTTTATTTCCTAAAGAAGGTGTCAAAACTATTTTCCCATTTAGATATAACTTCTAAATTTCATATCCCAGTAACTGAAAAGTTGTAAGTTCCAGACATTTTTTTTCTCTGAAATCTGTACGAAAATAGGTGTGTTCTCTTGCCTTTTTGGGAAGCTGAGCATCAGTAGGTTAGCTGTCCTATACTAATACTACAGCTACTTGCCAAGTCCTAGTTTATTATGCTAACATATATATGTTTAAGTGTCTTGAAACTTGATTTAAGCACTATTTAGAAGCCACGTTTACCAAAATTAGACCCCCAGATAGCTTGGATTTGTCCAAATTATTTAATGACATTACCATCCAGTAAGCTGACATAAAGTGTTTGGTAGCCCCAACTGTTCTGTGCAACTAATATTATAGGACTCCATTCAGGAAAGCACTTAAGTGTATGCTTAAATTCTTTCTTTGTGGATGCTCTGTTGAGTAACAAAACTGAGGGGAAATGGGCTTGAGCAAACCTCTTTCTTTGTTTGATCTGCCTCTGTTAGCATCAGTCAGAGGAAGATTGCCGTGTATTATTCCACATAAGTGCTTTATTAACTGCGTGTGCTATGAATTAAATTAGGCTGGCTTTGTGTAATTTGGCTCGGTTTCACTCAGCAGCTGAAAACACAGGTAAATCATCTCACGGTAAAAATAACTGCCCTGCTGCTCATCTCTGCCTTAGCTGGGAGATAGACCCCATTAGCTGATGAAAAGGCAGACCTAAGCCACCCAATCTCAAAATCTGGACTGTATCAATCTAACAGTAGTTATTACCAGACACTTCAGAAAAATGTAACCCAAAGTGAGCCTCTTAGGAGGAAATTCTGTCTGTAACATCTTCATTAGAAATCAGTTTATATTCTGAGATGCTAGGGCATTCCAGGAGAGGGGGAAGGGGAAAGAGGTTTGTGCCAGTGTTATGGTGTTTATTTAGAATCATTCCAAGCATCTTCCTGTGTAGCAAGGAAGTAAGTAATGGTGAAGAGTTCTAATTATTACAGCTATCTGCTTTCTGTTGTGTTTTCTCTGTCTATATATAACCACTTCATTTATGTTTTGTGTATCAGTTCATCTGTGTCCTCTGAATGAGCCAGTTTATTATGGAAAATTTGACTATTAGTTTTCTTTCCTGCAGAAAATATTGCAACTACTGCCTGAGAGGATTTTTTATCGGTGGCATTTTCGCAGTATAGGTAAGAAGGGATGGTTTGAAAATGTTCTAGTAAAAATGAAATCTGTGTTTTCTGTAATCGCTTCCCTGGTTCTACAAGTCCTTTAAACCACTGAATGACATAGTTTTGCCCAGCACACAGATGGTACTTAAATGTGAGATTTGCATCTGAAAATTCTTCAAACATTCTGGAAAATCTTTGTACCTGTCAATAGCTCTGTGTGTTCTTTGTGCTGTGTGGTTTTGATTGCTTGCTTCACTTTTATTTTTGCATGAAAGCTCCTGGAATTTTTGTATTCTTGGATTTGCCGTGGTCCTCTTTTTGTCTCTTTCATAGCTTTTAGAGTATCAAAATGGAGAGGGATCTAAACCAGCACACCTTTTCCTAATTGGGTGAATTAGGAAAATGGGTGAATTAAGAAATGGAGACCCATTTGCATTCACAGACTAAGTCCAAAAATTAAGATTGAGAAGGGTTGTGGAATCTGTATTTGCTCTCTTGCAAATTTGCACTGTAAAGTCTTTCACAGATGATCACATACAAATGCTCAGGCAAATTTGTTGTAATAAAAATTGCTCTTTGCCTAGATACAGGTACCATTGAACTTGGTCTCCTTTTGGAAATATATGCTGATACATTTCTGCTTTCCATTGGTGACTGTTGAACAAGCACAAGTTACACTAAACCATCGGGCTGCTACATCACATAAGTGTTTAATTTCTTCTGTGGTAATCCTGTGACATTACTCTCTGTACATTTGAATTCATTAATATTTGTGAAGCACTCGGTTACCACAATCAGTGAGAATTAAAAGAGGAATTTCTGTTTCAGACTTGGAATAGCGAAACAAAGAAAGGAAGGACAAAAATTTAAACTTTTTAGTAACTTTGAGTGGCCCGCAGTCTTGTTGGCCTGTGGATGTGGAATTCTGAATACACAGCACTTCTGCAAGTCTGGCCCCAGCTGTCTTTCATGGGTCCTTCATTCAGTGGAGGATTTGCCAAGCCAGTTGACACTGGCCATTTCAGGAACAAGAACCTGTGGGTGGCATTTGTTTGGTCAAATCAAGAGGCTCTCCATTCTTTACCTGCACACCATGACATTTGTGATACATACAGTGGCTTCTGGAGCAAGGGGGGAATGGGAGGAGCGCAGGAAAGGAGCTGGTAAAGCTCAGCCTTTTTTTTTCCTTAGCTTCCTGTCCGTTCTGTCTGCTCACAAGCAGGTATTTTGCAGAAGTCTTCATAAGCATAGAACTGAACATTGCCTTGCAACAGATGCCTAAAAAGAAAATAATAGGGTTGTCACCTTAGTTAAGACACTTATAGTGCTTGGCTTAAAACTTGATGTTCTTCTGCTACTTGTTCACCTTAAAGCATTCAGATAATAAGCATCTAATGGTTTGGGTCACTCTTGAATGTTGGATTACTGAACTTTTATTGATGAGTTTTTCAGTAGATGGTATAGGGATTTCAGGTATATCTTCAAATCAGGTTCTAAAAATGCTATTGAGAAAATTGTTTGGCTGTCTTTATTTTCAAATATGTGAACTTTCTAATTTATTTAAACATTTCCTTTGACCATCCCTTGTGATCACATGCAGGAGACAAAGGAAACTTTATTTTCCTCATTTGACCAGACTGAATAAATTACAGTCAAGTGAGAGGGAAATACTTCTATTTTGATAGTCCAAACAACTTGCAGTCCACTGAACTAAGCATCTTTGATTAATTAACTGTGAAAATTCTACTTCTGAATGCTTCCAAGGTGGCCACAGTATTTTCTTTTGCTGTTTGTTGAAGTAAATTGGACAGTTTATGCTGCTTTGGGAGGGGAGCAATGGCATATATTTCTTCATTACAGTTCTTTTTTGTTGGTGTGGTTGGCTTGGTTTGGTTTCCAGCACCGTTCCATCAGCTGTCATGTTCTTGTCCCAGCAATGTATTTGCTGTTGCAAAAGAAATAATGAGTGGAAGGTGAAGCTCAAAGAAAGGCCTGTTGTCACATTTCCAGTTAGCACTGGGAAAACTAAAAGGAGATGTCTGCTTGACCACTTTACTTCCATTTCATCTCAACGAGTCCAGAAAAAATTGCTTGTAGGCAGTTGCTTTAGAGCTAATGTATTTACGTCCTTGCTCCCTTTGAACAGTCGTATTTGGATAAATTTATAGCTGTGCTTGATAAATGAGCTACAAAATTTGGTTGCAGTTATTTAAAGCGCACCTCGTACTTTGCTTTTTGCTTGATGTTCCTGTGTAACTGCTAATATGCAGTTGTTTATATGCTAATAACTTCCATCTAAAATTTTGAAATGGAGAGATCTCAAAGGGTCACTTCTAAGTAAGGCTGTAATTCTCAAAACCAGGTGAAATAACAGCTGCCTCGTACGTTCTGTTATTTTCTGAGGAATTTGACTAAAAACATTTTTAGCTGAAGAATTTCATGTGCGAGATCTAATTTTAAGCCAGGCATTTGGAACAAGCAGTTGACCTGGTGTTTTTAAACATGAATCAAAATATTTTGCAATTTCAGTAGCTGTTGGGTTGTTTGGTTGTTCTTTTTTCTGAAATAGCCATGAGTATCATGTCTGTCATTTTGCTTTTTATCCCCCAGAAGTGTTCATCTTTTTTGAAGACCAGTGTAATGACAGCGCAGGAATAGCATCAAAGTAGCCTTTTCTGTAGTGTTTTTTTAAAAAGCATGTTAACATCTGATATGTGCCTGTTTCATCTTCCTCATCCAGGGTCGATTTTGAAGAAACTTTTGCACACTGGAAACTCTCTCAAGGTATCTCTCTTCCATGATGTATTCCTATTTCTTTTTCATTTAATTTGTATGAAGCAAATTATTTCACAGATTTTCAGTGTCAACATTTTTTCAGATCGCTGAGCTTTTCCATTTACCTTTTAATTACAAGTTTTAGGATTGGAACTGTAGGCTGTTTTAAAATTCATATTTGTCAGTTGTGCTGCTCTAATGACATTTGTAAATCTAGCTGGAGAAGCTAGCAAAGTATTTGCTTAATGCTTCATTTTTTCAGATCTCTCTGGCATGAAGTACATTATATTACATGTATAGGTTTCTTGGTTTTGCTAAACAGTTTCAAATCCATTTTTCATACTCCAAAGAAATGGCTAAAATTACTGAGAAAGAAGGTGAACTTACAGAGCACTCAGCCTTGGGTTGTTTTGTTGCATCTCAGTTTTCTTGGGGATCTTCTGGTCCTGCTTACATTGAGGACAGCAGCTTGCCTTAACGTGCATGGAGCTGGCATTCTGTAATTGGTAGGGCAGAAGCAGGTCAGCTCCTTGTCCTCCAATGGAGGTTGGGGCCATCATAGAGTTTTGGTACAGCTCACCCTCACCCTTCTGTGCTCTGGTTAGCTTAGCAGTAGGATTATTTATGCTATGACCAAAAGATTTACTAGCACAGAATTGGAATCAGTGTACTTGTCAAACACTTTCTTAACTGCTCAACTACATTACTGTACTTTCAAATTTGTTTTCATATTTTCTTCTACAAAATCATCCCCTTGTAGATAAGATGTGAAGGAATCCGACTGTTTCTTCTCTGGCTTCAAGCACTTCAGACTAACTGTACAGAAGAGCAGATATTAATATTTGCATGCCTTGTGCCTGGGTTTCCACCCGTTATGTCCTCACGAGGTCCCTGTACACTAGATAATGTCATTAGTCCTCCTAATTCACCAGATGGTGAGTAAACACAATTTCTGTGCTGGGTGTTTCACCTTCTCCCTTTCCCTGAAGTCACTGTGAACCAAGAGCTGCTTGCAGGGGCAGTGCCGTGTGATTGGTGCTGTTTGTAGCTCAGAGATGGCCTGCAATTGTCAAGCTGCTGACAATTTTTGCAGTGTTAGGCCTTCAGGTTTTGTCATTCTGAGTTAAGAACAATTTTGTTGGGTTTTTTTATATCGAGGTGAAGCTATATGAACACCTTACTGCAAAGTAAGTTCCTGTGTAGATTTACAGCTTATTTGTTAACCTGCAGCATCTGCTTGTGTTAATCCTTCCAGACTGCACTGAAGCAAAGGTTGGTCCTGTCCTCAGATGTCTGTGAAGGTGTTTGGGAAAACACAGGAAGCCCAAGCAGTTTTGGCTTTGTGCAACTTAGTGGCACATTAGTAATTATTAGCAAATTGATCTTTTTATAGAGAATATGATTTATTTCAGTATTTTCAGGTTTTCTATGTTCAAAGCATTTTCTCTTTATTCTAGCTAAGATTTTTCCAGAAGAAATTACCCCACTTTTGCCAGCTGTCTCTGGAGAGAAAATTGCTGAAGACCAAACCTGCTATTTTCTTCAGTTACTATTAAAATATATGGTAATTCAGGTGCGGAGGAGATGTATGTTTGTAACTATTCATATTGGGATTGTGTTCTACTGAGCTTTGTCTCTCTGATATGCTAAAGTCCTTCAAGGTAGTATTTCATATTGTGCTTTTTAAAAAAGTAAATACATTTGGGGCTGTTGTTTTTTCATCTCTCATGTTAAACTGCAGTTGTTCATCTTTCTCATTAAGTAGAGTAACGTTTTGTTACTCGTCAACAGGGAATGACTATCAGTGTAAAACATGATCTTCAAGCTTTTTGTTTCTTCCTTTCTTTTTAATTCTTTGGCAAAGGCTGCAAGCTTGGAGTGGAAGAATAAGGAGAACCAAGACACTGGTTTTAAGTTTCTCTTTACCTTGTTCAGAAAATACTACCTTCCACACTTGTTTCCATCTTTTACAAAACTAACTAACCTCTACAAACCTGTTCTAGGTAAGTAGCAAGTTTTGTCTTTTAAGTTTAAAAACAAAACAAAACACCTTTCTTCCTTAAACAGAAAAAATAAGCATCAAAAGTCAAGTAAAAGAAAACAGAGTTGTAGCTGTGAAATAAGCTCAGTTTGTGTTGCTGGAAGCATCTATAGGAAGCACTTCTCTGGAATTAAAAGCATGTTATTTCAGTAATGCTCACATTTTCCTTAGACTTTCTTCTAACATTCTACTGAATTATATATTAGAGTCAATAGGAGCAGGGTTGTTAAGGCTCACCTGATACACTACAGCCTCTTCTTTGTCATTCCTCTCTTCCTTCCTCTGACTTCTAACTCCTGTCTTTGCAATTTGCCCTTAGTGTCTGAATTCACCTCAGGGCCACTTCAGTCACGTTCACAACAGGAGCACAATCCTTCCCTGTATTTCAGCTGCGTACAAGTGATTTTTCCCCCAAAATCTAAGCATCTGTGTTAATTGTGACCCAACCTATCTCTGTTTGGCATTCTTCCACTTTCTTCCAGTGCGTGTTCTCTCTTTTATTTCAGCTTGTGCAGAGCTCTTTGCACCTGAGCTGACATCTCTTTCCCATATGCTAAGTATCCTTAATCTTTTCACTGAGTGTTCCTGACTCATCTTCTCTTTCTCGTTCTACCTTACTAATAAGCCCCAGGGAAATTTATGTTGCAGACTCATGTTTGGTTTGGATCTTGTCTTACTCTTTGCAGCTCTTCTCTTTTGCTTTCCTTTCTTTTGCCTAATACAAATCATAGCCTTCGTTGAAAGATTTGTACTTTTGTGTTCTTGCTTTTCTTTAGAAGTAGTAAAGTTATTAATGCAAGCGTTAAATAATAGAAGTGGCCAGTCACTGCATCTGTTATTTCACATGGAAAAAATGTTGTTGGAGACATGTTCAATGCATTTAAACAGTCTGGAAGCAAGTTTTTTAAGATTAGATTTTCTCTGTATTTTCTCTTTTTATCTCACCAGATATTCCTGATACAAGACCAAGACCTGTATACATTACTGCAACACGAAACAATGAGAATGTCTATAGCACAAAAATTCCATACATGGCAGCTCGAGTTGTATTTATTAAGTGGCTCGTTACTTTCTTTCTTGAAAAGAAATACCTAACTGCTGTTCAGCATACAAAAAATGGAGGAGAAATGCTCCCTAAAATTATCCAGGTGTGCTTTAAAGTTTACCTTTTTTCTCTTTGGATGTGCTAGAAACCTTGCAAGGGATTGCGCGCTGACAGCTGCGGCAAGAAAGAAATGCAATCCCCAAATGATTAAGTGATGTACTTGTGAATTGATTATTTTTTCTTTTATGAAGGAGGGAGTCTTCAAGGGAATCTCTTAAGTAATTAACTACATTTTTTCCTCATATATGTTTGCCTTACCGGATTTCATCGCTATTATCTCTGGACTCTTGGAATTCAATCTGTAAGCTGGCAAACTTATTTGAGGCACAGACCATTTCCCTGTAATATCAAAGGCTGTTTTGTTTTCCTCTTGATTATAGCAGCTGTTTACAATGAGATGCTAGAAAAATATTTGACTTTCAAATTCTGGTTGAGGTTTCTGTAGGATTAGGGGCTTACCAGGAATTTTGTGGAAATAAATTGTTCTGAGAGACTCTCTGGCTTCCCGTTAAAAATCTAGGATCAATGTCAACTTTAGATTTTTCTCTTGAATTGTGGGTCAGTGTCAAATCTGGCTTGAGTGGAAAAACATTCACTGGCTATGAAAGTCAAACTGTGTATTTTCATGTTAATTAATTTTGAAGTTCTTCATTGAAGAGTTTTGATACCTTAGAAAGGCCAAGTGTAGCTTACCTCCTGAAGGTGCTTTTTAGTAACCTTTTCATTCTCATTGGAATTTTCACCTTCTGCCCAAATATGTGCTGTGCCATTGCAACAGGCATTGCTTGGAGAATGAAATCTTTTCACTGAATTTTATAGGCTACTGACACCAATTAAATATTTAGACTATATAAAGATATTACTGCCTTCAGAATGGAACCTTGTAAAAATTATCACTTAGCTGAAGCCAAGTGTCAGCTTTTGGCACACGTTGACTTCCTAGTTGTTAGAAACTTCAGTGCCTGTAACCTGTGCCTTGTTGGTATGGCAAAATTTTACAAGTAAGTTTATTATGAGAAGCAGTAGAAATATTACTGCTGCTCTCTTTGAAGAGACAGCAGCCTTGTTGAAGTAAATGTAAAGCCAAACTGCATTCGGGTAATGCTTTCAGTTAGTGTGAGTAGCATTCTTTGTCCAGCAATTCAGATGCAGTTTTATTCACTTTCTTCCAAAGGCTTTGTCCTCTGTCTTCCCTTGACTGAATTATTTTAGTCAGACATGGTTCAGGATGAAATGTTGCAAAATAAATGCAATGCCACGCCAGAACAATATCTGACAAAGAGCTGTGGGGAATAGTAATGCCTAAGAATATGCACCGTGTATAGTGATGGGATCCTTCCTTTCTCAAAAATCCAATGGGCTTGGAGCTGCTTCTCCCTTGTGCCTGCCAGCTCTCCAGTCCCACCACTACACCCCTTCCTCTTTCTTTCTTGGGGAGCAGACAAGTCAGTCGGCTGCAGGGCACCCATAGGAAGTATGCATCATATAGCATATAAGACGAAATTCCTTGCTGTTTCAAAAGATAGATTGAAAATTGCTCGTTCTGACTGCTGGGATGGCTGTGTGCTTTGTGAAAATGAATGCTGCTGTCTTGAGCTCTGAGTAAGCATCACAGATTTTTGCTATGCAGCACTTCAGTAATGTAATTAGCTATATCTTTTCTGTGTAGACTGTTGGTGTTGTAAACCAAGATAAAAACCCTGAACTGGAAACCAGCGTGTCTTATGCAAGCGAGCAAGAGAGAAGCCATTCCAATAGCAGCACGCTGTCTGACCGGCGGCTCAGTAATTCAAGCCTCTGCAGCATCGAGGAGCAGCATCGGACCGTCTATGAGATGGTGCAGCGGATCCTCCTGTCCACCCGAGGATATGTTAACTTTGTTAATGAGGTGTTTCGGCAGGTAAACGTGCACGTGTGTGTTAAAAGTCATTGCTTATTGCTTCTACTAGTGTTTGTCTTTGTTTTGATATCTTTTCAAGTGTTTGGGGTAAAAGTACATGTGGGATTACTGTGAATTCCCAGTCCTCTTCTATGTTGTCACGGTAGAAATTGATTGAAACAACAGTTCCAGGTCACATAAATTTATAGGAGACACCCTCTAGCAGCAGAGTAAGCATGCGTGCTTTACTGAGAAGTGTCCTGTGTGGCATAGTTAAGGAGCTCCTTGTACCAGTGCTTTTGTGAGGCAGATGTCATCGTGACTGGAAGGAGTGATTTTGTGTGTTGAGAACCACTGTGGTGTGCTGCCCTCTGCTGGTGTGTGTTCAGAGTGCGTGTAAAGTTCAGCGGGCTTCTGGGGAGCAGAAGGTGACAGAATACAGCACTTTTATTAAATATGATCAGTGTTCAGTAATTGAAGCAGATTGTGGCACTTGCATCCTGCCTGTTTTTATCTCTGCCCTACAGGAGTCTCACTAGTCACTCTGAATTCCTCTGTGTTTTTATTTTTCTTTTCTTTCTACCCTACTTTTCAACCTTCCTGAAAGCATTTTGTGTAGTAGCCGTTCATCCCACTGCTTCACTAATAGTCTAGCAGTTGTCATCAGACTTTTTCAGTTTCCTCATAACTCGGAGAACAACGTGCTTGCTGTGTGGCATATTTAATCTAGCTTTTGTTAACCCTTCAATTTCTGCAGACTAGGAGTTGAAGACTCCGTTTAGCTGTTGGATATTGTGCTTCTTGTTGTCTGGACAAAGGGAAACATGCTATATGGTGCATAGATTTCCCCCAGTCTGAACAAGATATCCCTGTAATGTTTTTGCAGCTAAACTGACTATAGGAAGAAGTGCTATGAATGCATTTCTACAGCTTCTGTTGCTGTTAACTAGTGAAGAGTGGGTAGTCTTCTTATAGACAGAACAAATTTTGTTAATCTGAAGAATGTATTTTAGTCTTTCTCACTGAATTTGTAATATAATGCATTCGATATCAAAGCAGGAATTTATTCTTCCTTGGGAAAACAAGGTGGATATTTTGGCACCAAATGAAATTTCTCTGCCTTGGTTTCTGTGCCATTTCACTGTTGTCCAAAGATTTTTCAACAGTTGATACAGGTTTGTAGTAAGATTTCATTTTTGGAAGTCTATAAAATGTTCTGTGGTCAAACTAACCTTATACCACTGCAAGGGGTAGTACTTGGCCGTGCAGAATATGGTAGACATCACCTTTTAGTGAGTGTGCAGTTTCCCAGGATTTATAATACTGCAAGAGTCTAACACACATCACTGTATTTTTTTAGATGCTCAAGATCTGCAGAAATGTGGGGAAACAGGCAGTTTTGCCTTTGAAAGCTCTCACAGTGGACATCTTTCCAGAACGTTAGGAGTACTGCCAAGGGGTGGCACGTTGGAAGTAAATCCATCATGTTGATTTTTGAACATGTTGTCAGAAGGGATTGAATGCCAGTCACTGCTATTCTCATTACAGTTTAATGTCTTACCTTTAGTCACACTTGCTAAAATGGCATTTCATATCCTATACTAGTGATGTAATTTGAGATCAACTTCTACGAGTGTAGGGTAGAACCCAGATATTTCTAATTACGGAATTGAGAGATCCCACACAGGTGAAGATACATGGATACACTGTTGTTTAGCTATAACTCTTTGTACAATGTAAAACATATGTTTCCTTACTTTATTTTTGATCTGTGCTCTTTATGGGTGGTTATGATGCATGTGTACGTTTGTATATGCGTGGATTTCTGTGCCCCATATATCCAGTAAAATCAGTTAACTTTAAATTTAGGCATTTTTGTTGCCTTCCTCTGATATATCTGCAACACGGAAAGTGGTTAAGGTGTATCGGAAGTGGATACTGCAGGAGAAACCTGTGTTCATGGAGGAGCCAGACAAAAAGGAAAACAGTGAGGATGCTGTTACCAGCTTAGAGGATTCATCAGCACAAACGGATGGTAAACATGTATGCTATCAGTATTACTTACATTATTCTGTCTCCCTGCAGTATGTTATTTATCTCTTAAACCTGCTTTGAAAATGAGGAAAAATTTAAATTATACGGGAAATCAGGATTAAAAAGTGCTATATCTAAGGGCCAGAAATATAAATGATTACTGAGTGTTTGGTAGGCCTTACTGAGTGCAAAGAAAGATTGCAGCTCTTTGAAGAATGCAGCTTTCTTCATTATTCCTTGTCTATAGAGATATGGTAGCAAGAACTTAATGGAAGTGGTGGTAATTGCTTAATTAAGAACTTGAAAATGTCTACTAATTTGCATATACTCTGTCCAAATTTGGATCTGTAACTCTAGGAACTTAAATTGCGAGTAAAAATTCTGTGACATCACATTTTTTTTTCATGTTCACTGTAGTGAATATTGACTGAGACGTTCGCATTCAAAGCTACTTAAATAGAAATTCTGTTACACCGAGACAGATGGTTGAGGTGTAAAATCAGAATCTGTAGTTATTCCAGGCATGAATTCAAATGTACTACAGTCAGTGACTACAAAATGTGAGATAAAACATTTCAAAATACTGTAGTTCTTTTGAGTTTTATGAACCTTTAAATTCCACGAACCACGTTTGCTCTGAGATGTCAGTGGTAGACATGACTTCCTTGCTAAATGGACACAGTAGTTCCCTCTTCTTGCTTTTGCCATTTTCATTGATTTTGAGTAAATATGGACATCTTCCTTTCTCCCTGATCACTAACTGAGTGGTGTTTTTGAAAGCTTTCCTCTGACCATTCAGGACATAAGCGCTCATCCAGCTGGGGAAGAACGTACTCCTTTACCAGTGCTGTTAACAGAGGATGTGTATTGGAAGATGAGGACAAAAATGTTAAAGCTGGTGCTCAAGCTGCATTACAGGTGTGCTGTACTGAAAGGTTACAAGGCTGTAAGAGTCATGTAACTTATACTACACATTATAGTACCATCATATAGTCGTGTTAAATTCTATGTTGATTTCCAGATTAGAACATTTTGGGAGGGTTCTAGGCTAGCATTACTGAAAACAATTCTCTTCTGGCTTATATAAATTATAATTTCCTATTTTGGTTTAAGAACTTAGATAAAGACCTTTCTGAAATTAAAACTCTGAAATTAAGGAAAGAAACTACAAGGAGCTGATGGTTTTCATCAGCTATGATTTGAACTTCATGTATAACTATAAAAATGTATGTTAAGCCATGTGCTCATGTCTGAGACCTGGATAACTGCTATAAGGTATGAGGTACATATTTTTTTCCCTCAGTTGGTACTGTGAATGAGAACTGTACATATGCTTTTATTGTTCCTCATTAATTGGAAGTGGTGGTGTTTACTTAAGCATATCGTGTTGGGAAGTGAGTAGCTGGAGGAGTGGCACTCCTACCTGACCAAACAGAAGAGGTACCTGCAAGACAATGAACTTTGTGGTATATGCCCTTGTTATGGAATGCCGTCTGACTCTGATTTAGAATGATTTAGAACAGTAAAGTGGTAGATGAAATGTGAAGCTTGCTGTAAGGAAAATAAGTGATTTAACTAAGAGAGGACAAGTATTCTATTATTCTAAGTCTTGACTTTTTTTTGTCTGGCACTGTGTAAACTGACTGTGGATACCTGTGTCTTGAAGGTGTTCTTGACAAACTCTGCAAATGTGTTTTTACTGGAACCATGCATTGAAGTCCCTGTGCTTCTGAAGGAGCAAGTTGATGCTTGCAAGGCAGTTCTCAGTATTTTCAGGCGCATGATAATGGAACTATCAATGAATAAAAAGACGTGGTAAGTTTAATATCTTCTGTAGCTAAGAGAAGGATATTAATATTTAGCTGTTATGGGAGAATTGTTAAGAAGGAGAGGGTGAGAGGGAGAACTTCTCAGTGATGGTCCTTGTTACATATGCTGCACTTACAACTTGCATCTCAGTTGATTTATGAGGTTGTAGGTTCTGCTGTGTCTTCATCAAAGTGCTTTTTGATTTCAAAGTTCTGCTCATTACTTCCATCCCTGAATTTTTCTTCTCACAAATTTTTACAGCCCTCTGTCAACTGGTGTTACTTTGCAAAAGTTCTGTTGAAATCTTTGTGTGATCACATTCTCAATGTGTAAAGATTACTGAGAATTGACAGGCTTTTTGTTGCGTGAAAATTAACAAGAATGATTAATAGAAACTGTGAACAAAAAATACAATTTTATTTTGGGACCAGGGAGCAGATGTTACAGATACTCCTCAGAATAACAGAAGCAGTGATGCAGAAGCCAAAAGAGAACCAAATAAAGGATACATTTGCTCAGAGCATGTCAGGATTACTCTTCCGAGTGAGTATTTTCTGTGTGCTTGGCACCAGTTTTTCCATGCTCATAGTTCTGCTTAAGTACTATTGCACAGTACTATGCAACGTATTTGTAAAGCATGAAGAAGTTCTCCTTTGCAGTAATACAACTGATTGTTTTATTAAGAAGGATTCCAGGTGTCAGAAGAGTTGATTTGATCTGTTCTTCAGGGCTGCGTTGCAAACTGTGCTAGCACAGGCAGGTAGTCTAACTGTGGGATATCTTCAGTGAGTAGCTCTACACTGTGAGCTGAATGCAACTTCTTGCAGAAGTAAGTTCATCTGGCAAGTCAAAACTAAGTCAGACTTAAGAAAATGAAAATCTGTCTGCATCCATTTGTATATGATATGTTCAGATCTGAATGTTGTAGGTATAATTCAAGCTCTGTAATCATTTGAAGGATGTTGCGATGGTCAGTTCTGTATTCTATTCTTTTATTATTGCTGTATGAACAACAAATTAGCTTACCAGGCAAAATAGAGGCCATCTGAAGCATCTGTTTCATAATTTTTAAATTTCCTTGGTCAGTAACTTGTACTCAATATCTACCCACCAATTTCTGGGAATGTTTTTTGATGAATAGTATCTGTGTATCTGCGTGTCACTGATACCAGCACTAATATGCAAGATGGCGTTGTGTTAAATTCAGCCAAGATGTGTGACCTGTCACTTGTTTATTTCCTCCTAGACCCTCATTGTGGCTTGGATCAGAGCAAACCTGAGCGTCTACATTTCTCGGGAGCTGTGGGATGAGCTGCTTAGCGTTCTGTCTTCCCTGACTGACTGGGAGGAGCTCATAAATGAGTGGGCCAACATCATGGACTCTCTGACGGCAGTGCTAGCAAGAACTGTGTATGGGGTGGAAATGACTAACTTACCCTTGGATAAGCTCAGTGAACAGAAAGAAAAAAAGCAGAGAGGAAAGGGTTAGTCCCCATGCTTCAGTGCTTTTTGTGTCAAACAAGTTAAATATTCAAGTTTAAACTTTAAAAGATCTAACATTAAATACCTCTTAATCTTGTGTAAGAACCTGATTAATCAAATATGAAGGGCTTTGGATTTTTATGTTCACTGTGCTAGGAAGGGTAATTGGGGTCAATAGATGGTAGCTGGTTGGCAGATTTTAGTATGTGCTCAAAATGATTTTTTTCTGTGCAGCAGGAATGAATCGTGATTTCTTGTGCTGTATTCTGGCATAGTCATCAGTGTCAAAATTCTTTTCCATGTAATTTTATTAAACTTCATGAATTACAGTATTTCAGCTGCATTCATATGCTGCTTTGCAATTGATACACATAGTTGAATTTTTGCTGTGATTATAAAGCAATTACTACATCAGCGACACTGATTTGAAGATGAATATTTTTTTTCCATATTGGAGTGCCTCTAAGTTCATTCAAACCCTAGAAGAATAAATGACAAAGCTGAATACTAAATGCTAGAATAATCTTGTTTGTTCTTAGGTGGTGTTTTAGAGCCTCAAAAGACAGCTGTGGTGGGAAGATCTTTTTCATTAAGCTGGAAGAGTCACCCTGAAGTTGTGGAGCCCATGAGATTTAGAAGTGCCACCACCTCTGGAGCTCCTGGAGTTGAGAAAGCAAGAAATATTGTTCGTCAGAGAGCAACAGGTTAGATCTCTACTAGATACCTGATTCCCAAACATCCAGTAACACTCAAGTTTTGTATCTGCCTTTGAGTTCTGACTACTTCCAAAAATAGTGCAACTAAATTCAACATAGATGTTGCATACCTGAGTCTGGATGTCTGCAGGGCTATAAATACGAATAAAAGATCAAAGTATTGTGGAAAATACTTTATGCATGCTGTTGAATGCATTATGCTATATCAGTCATACGTAGTTTTTAAACTTTCTTGCTGCTTGCCTTTTATTGTAATCACAAGATGAAGCCTGTATTTAATAAGCAACCTTGCTTATATTATTTATTTACTTCCTTCTTAATGATGTAACAATATATGTGTAGCATCTCATTTTCCTTTTTTTTCCTCTCGTGTTTAATTCTGGACAGAAAAAGTATAGTGGTAAACAGAAGGGAGAATGGGGTGTAAGAATAATGGGGGAATGTCTGGAACTCCAGGTGTTGAAAGAGTTACCTAATTTTTCAAGTATATCAGAGGCCTGAATTTGGTCTCTATTTTATGGTATTGAGACTCTGTATTCTAACTCAGTGGGCTATGGATTAAAACTCTCCACAGAAAGTCTTCTCTGTTTTTTTAATAGAAAGTGTTTTTCTAAGCAGAGTCTTTCCTCTTTCATAATAGATTAGTTGTGTTTCTTACCAGCAAAATACAAAGGTGAGCCAGTACGTCTTTTCTGGTTACAGGGAAGTTTATTTGGTGGGCAGCAGGTTGGTTGTCAGACTATAGGGGATGAACTTCATGTGTAATAATACTCTGGTTTCATTTTGTGTCTTACGATCACATAAAACTGGAATTATTCTGGCTTCCGTAGGATTTCTGGTGATCAGTGACTCCCAAATCAGCAGATAAAAAAACCTCTTATATTTGCACATGCAGATATAGCAAATAATGATTCCAAATAGTCTGATGTCTGTCTGTTTCCTAAGAGTAAGACTTTCTAGGAGAACAAAACTCAGCTACTAAAATTCCAGACGTTATCCTTCAGAAACAAAAGTAGCAGTCCTTGAAGGAATTAGAGAAATAGTCAGGGAAGGACTTTATGTAGCAGAATGGAGGTTTGAGGAAAGCATCTCCTGCCCTGGGGCTGCTTTTTTTTTTTCCCCTCCCTCACTGAAAAACAACAGGAAAAAACCCCACACACCGATGTCAACATAAACACAAGATCGCCTCTTGCTTCCAAGTAAGACTTTATTTTCATCTTCTGCTTGCACTGGGACTTAAACAGTTAACAGCAGGGTATTAATGCAGCAGCCCACCATCCTGCTTGAGGATTTTTTCCTTTTTCCTTTTTTCTTCTCTAAGTATCAGCATTGGCATTGCTGTGAGCAAAAAGGGAAACAGCACAGCAAATGCCAGATGCATTTCTAGTACAGTTGGTGAGAAATTGATGCATTTTTCCAAAGGAGACTTCAAGCTTATGACAACTGCATGATAATCATTAATATATTTTAATAACTTGTCTTAATGATGATAGAAATCCTCTAAAGCATTAGCTACCTTGGAAGGTGCTTTTCTTGTGGCCTGAGAGAATATTTAACGTACAGGTTACAAAGGGGGCACTGCTCATCTCTCTTACAGATGATGAGAGAAGCTGCCAGCAAAGTAATACTGGACACAACGTTTAACACTTCACTATCTTTGAGATTATTTTCTCCTTTTGCAAAAGTTCAGAGTTCCAGCAGTGTTTTGAGTGCTTCTAGCTTCACTATTGACTGAAGAATCCAAACCCCATCTCATAACTTGCGTGTTTCATTGTCCTGTTCGTAAGTGGAGAAAGCAAGTATGCCAAAAGCAGTGTCTACAGAATAATTCAGGATGTAAGCTGCTTCAGGTCATGAAGCTCCTGCTCAAAGCAGGGTCAGCAGTATTGTCAGACAAGTGCACTCAGCGCTTCATTAAGGCTGGAGCAAGGATCCCTAGTTTAAAAAAACAACAACCTAACAGTGGTAGCTGTAGATTGATTTTTAAGAGGCACACTGTCCCACTTCTCAGATCAGAATGCTTTGTTTTCAGGCAAGATGAGTGAATGGAAGACGTAGCTAGTTTTTGGGGCAGGAGGGAGCATTGCTAGCAGAAAGTTAGCTGAATAAGTTTTCCATTCTTTGTTTCGAGCTGCATGTAATGTACTGCTAATGGTACTGCAATGAGAAGGAAGAAGGATGAGTCAAATAAGCTCATGTATACTAATCACAGGCTGACAAAATGAAAGATTCCACATTGTATTTTCAGTGGCTGAGATGCATTGTATGTTATTAACTCAGGGGTAGCAGGAGATATTGCAGAGCTTGACATTGTAAGATTCTTTCAAAAGCTTTGTTTTTCGTTGTATCATGACATCCCAAATCCAAATATTTTGCTGTTTTCTGACATAATTGTTGCTTTATTTTTTCCTGGAAGCTAAGCGAAGCCAGTCTATCAGCAACTGTGTTCATCTTTATGAGGCTTTGCCAGCTACTAAAAGTGTACCTCTTCTGCTTCACACTGTGAGCTCTCTCTTACCTGGTATCTCTTACACTTCTTGCTCTCACAGACTGTCAGGTACTGTACTTTAAAGTCATCTTTTATATAAATGTTCTTTATATTTTTAAGCTTTTCTGTCTGTTCTCTTTCTGTCCAGTTAATTATTCCTAAGGAGCGTGGAATGAGATGTTTTGCACTTCTCTTTCCTGGATCTGTTCCAAACACAGTGTTAAGTAATGGTGGTTGCTAGCAGGAGTTGAGCAGATTCAGTGGAAATGTACCTTGTGCTTTTTCAAAGCAGGAAGGGGTTAAAGAAAATGTGGTCACTTTGAATGGTTTTTGTTGTTCTGTCACTGGAACTGTAGTCATTATCAATGTAAGTAACCTCTTCAGAGGAAAAGAGGACAGGAAGGTCTTCTCAAGGAGCTGCAATAGAAGCTAGTTGTGTGCACGAATGTATGAGATATCACAAGCAAGGTGTGCCAAAAAAGAAGTGCAGCAGGTTGAGCTGCTGGTACTTGATTTTAGAAGAAAAAACTCATTCCCTCCATGTCACACTCAGTTACAAATCAGTGCTTACAAATGTGGATCTTTTTCTCTTAAAGATTTTTTTTTCTGTAATTATTGATTCTAGAAGCAAATATGAAAGGTTTGTCTGTGCCTCTTAGCTTTCATGTGGTATTTGATTTCTCTCAAAAGTACTGCAAGCAATGCTGGTTTTGTTCATTTAAATATTAACATGAATTACAACTTTATTGGGTTTATATTTCCTAATAATAAGAGTAAAAATTCCTAGAATTACTGAATCAGTGATTTTCTCCATGTTTTCATTTCCAAGTACTTGATTTACTGAAAGTTCCCAAGCAACAAATACCTGATGTACAAAGAGTTAGGAATGCAGAAACCAACACTAGAGAAGTTTGCACGTGGTGCAAATTATGGCTCTGGGGATTCCTATTCCATGAAATATCTTGAGTGTTTTTCATCCCATGTTGTTGTTTTTGGTCATAATGTTGAAATTGTTCAAGCTGGTTGATATGGGCATTGACCTGAAAGAAGGGCTTTCGTGTATTTGTTGCTTTCAGTACAGCTTTGATGCTGGCAGTGGTACTTTGGGGTCAATGAACACCAGAACATTTGGGTTTTGCAAGCATGGGTTTGTGAGGCAGTTTACTGAAATGGAAATGATGTATATTGTAATATGAGTAGTATCTAAGCTCAGTTAGTGTAGATTGAACAAAGGAAGCATGCTGTCCTCCTGCAAGCTGCTGCTGCAATCAGTGCAGGTAGGTGCAATCTTGTACCCTGAGGGGCTTTGCTTCTTGCTCCTTTCTGCATAAGCATAGCCTCAAAGTCAGTGCATACAGACCAGCAAGGAGGTAGGAAGCAGAGCAAAGGAAAGGAGAGGAGCAGAATGTAGAAAGCTGGTGGGCAGGTCATTTTAGTTCCTTTATTGTGAAATAATATGCAGAAAGAAATGTGAGAATTCGATAATTCAGCCCACGATCCTTATTCAAAGAACAGAAATCCAGTGCTTCTCCAAGTCACCACGTTGGTACTGAACCATTTCTTCTAATAGCATTGGATGTGTAGATTGACTACCGTGAGCAGTCTGGTGGTGGTTCTCCTGGGTCAGTTTGATGGGGGACTTGTGGGCCAACTTTCTGACTGCTTTCCAACAGAAAGGATATCAGTTAGAGTGGGTGGCTTTAACCAGTGCTGTGACTGAAAGTGTCGATACCAAAGGAGAGCTCTCCTGATCCCAAGTAAGGGTGCCACATTGAAACCCAAAGTAATTTCTCCATCTTTTTCTAGGTCTTTCATGATTTAAACCATTAATACATCTCTCTCTAAACTTTGCTTTTCTGAGGATACTTTTGACTTCTCTGACAAGGGGTTAAATTCTAGTTTTTGTAATTTGGAATTTGAAGTACTTGAGTGGGTCACTTTTTCACTTAGGATTCATAGCTAAGGAGTTGGCACGTGTGTTTAATTCAGAGGTCATACAAATGCAACTTTTTAATTAAATCAACAGAGGTAGAAGAATCTCAGCAGTCGGAAGCTTCGGCAGGAGCAGAAGCTACAGGCCTCTTTGTAGACCAAGAGCAGCAGCTCACTCGAAGTAGCAGCACTTCAGATATTGCAGACCAATTTCCATCTGATTTTTTTCAAGGTAATTTTGATGAAACGTAGTAACACTACACACATGAAGAAGTGCCAGGACTTCCTGAGCCTCACTGATGCCACTGTTACCTTCTTTGGTTTTCAGCCACAGTTGTAAAATGTTTTTTATCCCATTTTCCTACTAAATCTGAACCAAAAATGGAGAACACAACTTTTAATAAACCAGAGCTTTATTAAATGTGTGCATTTGCAGTGTCACTGTTTAAATTTATCAAGCATGTGCTTATATTTCATGTTTTCAGAGGAACAGTTCTACTTCTGTTTTGCTTGTGCACCTATGTTATGCTTATGAAAGGTTTGTCAGGGCATCATGTGTTCTATCTTAATAACTAATCTGTGAAAATTTTACAATTTGTTACCTTGCTCTGCTGTAAATATAAGAAATGTAGATGTAAATGTAGCTGATATTTTCTTGTAATTTGCTATGTCATTTTTTCCCCCACATTTTAATTCTGTTTCCCTTCTAAAATTTGTAGGCAAAAAGGCTGGGAGTTCTCATAATTTGACCACTTTAGACTCCAAATCAATCCAGGAAAATAAGGAGTGTGTGAAGAAGGAACACGAAGCTGAGCACGTAAGGCAAAATAGATAGTGATTACTGACGAGATCTTGTTTTATGTAAAATAAATGCTCCATTAATAAATAAAATATTCCATTGTGAACCGGATGGCTTTTCCTATTTGAAAACTATCAACTGAAAGAATGAATATTTGTTAGGCACTTTCTAGTGTGGAATCAGGAATTAAGCTTTCGTTGTCCCTTGTTCTGTTTGCTATGATCAACCTGTAACTTCTGATACTGTAGTTGCCAGTGCACCTTGACATGATTTGCTGTGTGCTATTCTCATAAAAGACTTCTGTGCTTTTCTATATTAATAATAAACAAGCCCATTCACTTTTTTTTCTTTTTAAATAATTAATGTTTTTTTTAGAGCTACGTTACTGGAGTAAATGTTTGATGGTTTGAAGTGCTGGGGAAAATATTTTCCTTCAGCAAAATTTGTAGCACCAGCTATTTATTGTGGATTGTTTGCCTAAGTTAACATTTGGACAGGCAAGCTTTGTAAATTTTTAATGCAGTTTTGGAAAAAAGCAATAGAAATAATACATGAGTTCATCTTTATGGAAGTATAATGCAATGCTGCATGGAGGACTGCAAGAGGAATCTCATCTCTGGTTGGTGGTTCTGCCACGTGTCTGCTCTTGCAGTACTGTTACGCTTTGTTCTACAGACAAGGCTCTTTCTGGGAAGTGCTCTCATTAATCACTTCAAGAATAACAAGGTGTGGTGAAGGTGGGGGGGAGAGAGATGCAGGCTTTGTAGTTGTGGGGAATTCAAAATTAACCTGGCTCCCTGTTCCAGTTCATACGTTCATTTAAATATCTTGACTGAGTTGCAGTTAATTTACAGTAACTTTCCCTGTGTGCATTTGTGTGTTTCAAAACTGCAAGAATAACATGTTCTCAAAGATATAGTTAATGAACTGAGATTGATGCTTTTTTTTTTCCTCTGTAGGTAGCAGTACGAAGGAGCAGTAGTACAGCTGAATTGGATTTGAAAGCTGACTTACAGCAAACACATGGAAACCATAGGGAGAGAGAAAAAAGTGAGTTCCAAGAAACATGGTAATTTTTTTTGAAGGGTAGCAGCTGAAACCAGTGTGATCTTGTCTTGTTGGGTCATGTTATGCTAATGCCATCTTTAAAAATAGGCTCCATGATCTTTATTCATCCTCTGCTTGCTTTAGGTGAAAGTGTGAGCAGTGACACATCCATTGGGTATAATAATGAGGTAGAGATTGCTCTTATCCCCTGGCAAGCCTCTGAAGAAGATCAGGAAGTTAATGCATCAACGGATGTCTGTGTGGATCCTGATGCACCTCGCTGGCTTCAGCTTAGCCCTTCAGATAATGCAAATTTAACAGGTATTATAGTCCAGAAATTATATTTTAGATTTTTATTTCAAAAAGGAGTTCAGTTTGCGTGCTTAAAAAAAAAAAAACAACACATTTTTAGGTATGTTGCCAAGTTTTGTTCAGAATGTTCTGTCAAAAACGAGATTTAAATGGACCGAGCTTAAAGAATTAAGATAATGAGAATGAACCTGACATAAATGCGAATAAACTGCAATCCAGGAAGTGATCACATACTTAAAAATGAGTTTCTTGCTGTGTCAAAGTAATCAGCTATGTGATAGTTGATCACTTGTGCTCTCTTAGCTTGCACTAGCATTCAAGTGAAAGGATTGAATTTAATTTCTGTTAAATTCTGTTTTCTAGATTTTTTTTTTATAGCAGGATATTCTGAGAATGCGCAGTAGGTTCCTTGTTTATTTCGACAGATAGAAACTGTCTAACTGATTAATTCACAATCTCTTAAACTGTTACCCTCCTTATTTGTACTTCAGCATTGCCTGTATGCCAGTAGGAAGTCATAAAGTGTTGTTCTCAGAAGAGTTTATTTGCAAGTAAAAGTCCTTTCCTTTTTCATTTTAATTCTACTGAAACATTTTGATTCTCTTCAAGATATCTTCCCATTGATATGTAATAAGCAAGTTAGGGATGTTATATCAATAACTTGATACTGCAACATATGAAACTATTTGCAGCCTTCTTACTGATGGGCTTTATAGTTTCATTTCTGTGATCACTCTTTCTTTGAATTACTGCTGATTTAAAGAACCAGCACACCCAGTTCCATCCTTCAGATGGCTGTTGTACACAAGGCAGTGTGCAGAGCAGTACCCAGCAAGGATTATTATTCGTGATAAACTCAGCACTTTCTTTGCCTGTGATATAAGAAATTGCTCCTTTGTGTGTACAAACAGAATGAGTTATATAAAATAACTTCAGAGATTAGAAAGAGAAGTGGAGTAACAAATGTGTGCAGGTCACTCCAGAAGTAATGCCTCCTGTGCATTTCCATGGAAAAGACAACCAGCATCCACCTCTGATGTCCTGTGTCAGCATAATAAAATAAGAGGCATTACTTTCAAAGCAGGCCTCATATGGTTGCCCAATGGAGTTGGCATGCTCCTAATGCATTTACTGGTTCTTGCCAAAGTTGTTTGTCCACATGCCCACTCAGTGCTGTGTGATCGGCATACAGGCCAGCGTGCAGCTCACAGCTTTCCTCTGTTTGTCATGTTACAAAACCTCAGTAATCACTGTGGTGAATACAGCCCTACCCATCTGCGCGCTAAGAGAACATCCTTGCCCTGTTCCCAGTGTCATATCTGTCAGAGCTGCTTCTGTTTGTTGCGTGGTTGTTACATGGAGAACTGCAGAGGGTGTCTGGGAGCCCATGGCTGGTGGAGGCACTTGTGAACAACGTCAGCTGTAGTAGTGAAAATGTGACGAGCCAAGCCTCTAGGGCTTTGATGTGTCATATAGTTATTTGCATTAATTTGGGTGTTTCAGCTTAATTTTCTTCTAGCACAAAACAAAGATGTGTTTGATCTTAGGATTTGGAGGCTTTCTAAAATAAAGCTTTGTTTTTCTTTAGAGCCCTGAATGGTGCAAGGCTAAAAATACTGTGTTGTCATCACCCAAACAGCGTAGATACATGAATTTCCCCGTTGAGAATCTTTCTGATACGCTTAAAAAATAACGTTTTAACTCTTTAGGAATTCATAACACTGCCAGAAACAAAACAAAGGAAGCAAAAAGGAAATAAAATCACAAAAAAGTTTAAAAAACAAACAAACAAACAAAACACACTGGATGCTGAGTGCTCAAAGGTGCCCTGTGGGGCCATAGCTCTGATTCTTCCTGCAGACAGGCTGCTGCATAGCTTTCTCTGCTCTGAAGATAATTGAACAGCTTTTGTCATTAACATTTGTGCTTCAGTGTGGAATATTTCGTTTACTGTTTAGGGATATTAATTCCATTATCATGCCCAGCTTCAGAATCACAGAGTCACAGAATCACCAAGGTTGGAAAAGACCCACAAGATCATCCAGTCCAACCATCCACCTGTCACCAGCAGGAAACGGGAATTCCTTCTCAGTTTGTATCCAGCTACCTCAGGAATTGCTTCTGTGTAAATGATAGTGGCAGAGCATATTCTTCATCTCTCAGAGTGCATCATATTTAGCTCCATTGTTCAGTCGTATTTTCAGGTCATTTTATAGTATGTGATCTTAAAAATAAAAAAATTAAAGAAAAAAAGAGGCAAGACTCTTCACAATGGAAATATTGCCTGTAAAAGCCAGTTATGGATTGAGTACATCTTTTGGAGTACATGAGTTTCAGACATGCACAAAGCACGTTTAACTGCATTTGCTTCCCTGCTCCAAAGCCTTGAGTGGGGGCAGTCTGTCATACCAAACTGACACACAGTTGTGCCATCTCTATTAGCCTGTGTTTTCTTGCCATTTTTTTCTTTGACCCGTGTGTTCCCTTGAGCAGAAGGAGGAGATGATTTGGTGAAGAGAGTGCTTTTTAGATGGAACATTTGTATAAAGGAAATTGGTCTTAACAGCCTTATTGGTTTAGTCTGGGAAGGAGGTCACTATGTTCTTCCCTAATATGTGTACTTGGAGGCCACATCTCATGCAGGTCCATCATCAGCAAGACAGGGGCTGTACTGTCTTGTCCCCTGTACTTAGGACTTGTGGGTCTGGGACTATGCCTTCACTATTTTATTTGTTGTGGATTTTTTTTCTTCTCTGGTTTGTGTGTGTGCTAGACCAGGAAGACCAAGGAAGTGTCTTTTGTCAATAATTACATAGCTCCTGTCTTTTTTTTGCTTAGTAAACTTTCCAGACTTCACAATAAAATTGCAAGCTTTTGGCTCTTTTGCCTTGAAACTTCCTTAAGAGTTTCTTTAGAAATGATGTGCATCACAACTGAAACTTCATCAGGAGTGAAAGAGAACCTTTTAAAATTTACAGACAGCAGTGAGTTCCTTGCTGATGACTGCAGTATAATTGCTGGTGGAAGCCTCATCGGTTGGCATCCTGATTCTGCTTCTGTGCTATGGAGGAGGATCTTGGGAATTCTTGGAGATGTGAACAATATACAGTCGCCTAAAATTCATGCAAAAGTTTTTGGGTATCTCTATGAGCTGTGGTATAAACTTGCAAAGGTATTGTATATAATATTTTCATCTAATGATAATGATTAAGTTTTTTTTTTAAAATTATGCTTAGATTTGATCTAGGATTGGCATCTGCAATGTAAGCATCATATTTGGAGGATTCTGCCTTAAAGTTTGTCAAATTTTTGTTTGATTTCCTGGAACTATCCCCTGTTGAAAATATTCCCATTTAATAAGAATAATTTAATTAATTTAGATGGCTTCATAAAACAGTAGCATAAAACATAAAACAGAGGTGTGGGATAGAATACTGCAAGCACTGTTCTTAGTGCAAAAGCTAATGGTACAACCTAAAATGCTTAGCTTAGCCTTCGTAGCACTGTAGAACACCTTTTCCTGGTAGTGTTGGCTTGAGTAAGAGCTCTCTGTGTAGTGCAGGATGTAGTGCCTTAAAGTAAAAAAAAATCCACAAAAAACAGAGAATAATATGAAATCACATTAATAAAGTGAACTATTTTTGTCTTAAATAACTCTCTTCTTTTAAAAACACCAGATAAGGGATAACCTTGCTATAAGCGTGGACAATCAGTCTACTCCCTCTCCTCCTGTCTTAATTCCTCCTCTCAGAATATTTGCATCATGGTTGTTCAAGGTAAGTTATTTCTCAACTTTTTCACATTAGTGTTTTTTCTCTGTTGACAATAAATGTGTATATGCTCCATTCCACTGTTAAGTTTTGCAATCACTGCAGGCTGAGACAAGTGTATTTGAACTCATACCTGTTTTAATAAATACAGTAGATTCGTTTATGGAAAACCTGCTGAAAAGACAGTTTTGCATTAGTGGACTAGTAGAAAAAAAAAGTGTTAATACAGGTCTTTTTTCAGGCAACCACGCTGCCAAATGAATATAAGGAAGGCAAACTTCAGGCATACAGGCTGATCTGTGCTATGATGACGAGGCGTCAAGATGTTCTGCCGAATTCAGATTTCCTGCTTCATTTTTATTTTGTGATGCACCTTGGTTTAACAAGTGAAGACCAGGTAAAAGCTTTACTTGAGGAAAAAAACCTCTGTAAGTTGCTGTCTGCTGATGGAATTGTCTGTATTTTCATATTTGAAAAAGCAGAAAGGAAGCAATGCTCTGCAACAAATTATTGTGTGAACTTATTATTGTGTAGCATTCCACACTGTACATTACGTAGTCTGAACTTTCTCCTTACTCTCCAGCTTTATCTTGTCATACTAGCAAAGAGCTGCTGTGGAAACACTTCTGTGTCTGTAGATTAATGTCATTTTTGGTCTGTCTGCCATGGTTTGGCCTAATCAATAATGCATTCAGTGGGAGATGATGAAAAGGCTTAATCTTTCAGAATGTAAGAGGATTATTGGACCTTAGAAGTAGCTAAATGCTCATAAATACTGTAAGAAGTACACTAAGCAAAAGAGAGGCTACCTAGAAACATGTCTGTGTTTTTATAGCTGCCGCTGTAAGTTTTCATCCTTAACAAAAACTCTGATGAATACAGTGGTGAGAACTGTACTGCAGATGCCAGCAGAGGGCACACAGACCTTTCTGTAGAGCCCGTGTTGATTGTTTGCTGCTTTGAGGAGTCATTTCTGGTGCCTTACCAATCCAGAGGGAACAGACTTGCACAGATTTTGTTGTGCTAGTTGTTGCCAATCTTTGTTACTGTAGTAATCCCTGAGAAGGCCTGTCCTATTACTTAGCCAGCAGTAAGTTGCTGATGGGTTGTTTTTAACCTTGTGAAGCTGCACTTAGCTGCTTTCTGCTGCTTGGACTGTGAACCTGGGTGCCTCACCATGGCCAGCTCCATCCCTCTCTGCACTGGCCTGTGCAATCCTGCACTTGGAAATTTCATGTGTCTCTGTTTTGCAAAAGCAGAAGTAAAACCATCTGCGTTGTATTCTCTGCAAACTTTCCACCTGCTATTCCCAGATGCTTCTGCAGGGAAAAGGCAAAAGGATTAATGGCACGATATTCTTAGGTGTGTGCTTCCTGAAAGCAAAACACCAATACAACAATGTGTGCCAAAACATCTCCCTTTCAAAAACCAAGACATCCAGTTGGGATAACTAGAATTTTTCTTTACGCAGTCTCACAGTGTGCTCTTTTTAGAAAGGAAGCTGGTTAGGTCGTTTGACTCCTATTACAGGTTTCAGTTGATTGTCTTTGTATTACTTGTTGTTTTTGTGATCATGGAGAAAAATCCTGGAAAGGTTTCTTAAGTAGAAATTGTGCAATTTTTAAATGGTGGTTTTGGTTCCAGATGAGCTGCTTTCTCATTCTGTTTTTGTTGTGTTTTGGTGTTAGTAACAATTCCACTGATTTTAAGCCTGTTGCTTTGTTGAATGTCAGATTTCAGTCCTTGTGCAAATTTGTGGTTTAGAAGTTAAGATCAAGAAGTGAAAACTGTCTGGTGAAGGCAGACTCCACATACAAATCATTCCAGAGATTTCCTGATGTCTTGCATTCTCTTGGTGCTCCACCTCGTCTCACTCTGCTTCTTTTGCCTCTTGGTGGCACACTTGACTGTGAGTTTTCTCCTGTAACTGTCCTTCCAGTTTTGCTTTCCCTAGCTAGGAAGCTGGTGGATGGGAGCTGTGCACTCACCATGTAGCTTGAATTCTCATACAATGGATCGATGTGAAGCATGTTCTTTATACCTGTTTCCATATTTACAGTTTTATTAGCATCACATTGCTTGTTGTGTGTTTAGACTAGCTCGATACTGTGCACGCTGAGAGTGGTGTACAATAAATACTAATGCAAGAGTGCACTGGATGGAAGCACAGTAAATCTAGTATTTATTAAGATGGGTCATGGATGTGCTTTTCAATTATTTTGGTGGGTCAGGGAGTTGTTTATGCCACATCCCATCTGGTACCCTTCTGACTGAACACACAGTCCTTCCACAGGTAGATCAGTGACCCAGGCAGAGCATTTCACCAGCCTCTTACCTTGCTGTTAAGAGATGAAAATTCTCAGGTGTGAAGGAAATCTGATCTGGTTTGTGTGAAGCTGCTGGAAATCGGAGATCTTGTAGTGGAAAGAAAGATCGATCTGCTTTGTCAGATTGTTTTATTTGCTGAGCATGAGCATAACTTCTCAGTTTCATGGAACATTAGCAGGAGAAGGGGATTTTCTCATGGGGGAATTTTTGTTCTGTGTATGTGACTAGTGCAACTTTCAATTGATTGGGAGAAGCAACAGAAACGTGCAACTCCAAGAAATCCCATTCTTTTGATGTAGGTGAGCTTTTTTTTTTGTGCTCATCTACACAATTATTTTGCTACACAACCTGGTAAAGTTATAGTCAGAAATGTTTGTAACCTGAATATGATTGTCAGTGTTTTAGATAGCATCAAAAACGTTCATTTTAAAATATATTTATGTGTAAAAAAAAAAATAAATAAAGTTGACGAATCTTGTATTACATGAGGAAAGTGCAGTTGTGCAATTAACAGTGAAGATAAATAACTTGCACTAATTGGACTTGCTGAGTAAACACTAGTTGAACAGAAATGTAGCTGTGTTTATTTCAATAGACACATCCAGCTACCTGGCTGAGAAAAGCTTCCTCCCAGACTGGGGAGAATGCAAACCTTCTGCTCAAGTCTGTGGACTGTTTTCATTCCTTTTATCCTACATTCCTCAATTCTATTTTGTCTCCTCCCTTAACAACACAAATATACAAAATTACTACTTTCTTGTTTAGATTTTGGTGTTGGTAGAAAGCAAAATAGTACATGTTTGAATGCACTCAGTACTTAATACATTGTAATTTATGGCAAGTGCAACCTTTCTGCACAAACTTGTCTTGTGGAGCATTTGAAAGAGCAGTGGGAGAGAATGTTTTACAAAAAGATCCCATGGCACTCTGAGTTCAAGATTTAGCAATTAGCTCAGCTGGTGAGAAAGGAGATAGTGATGTAACTGAGCTGCATCTCATTTGTCCATGTCTAAGTGTCTCACAACAGCACCTCTGTAGGAAGAAGTGAACAATTCTCTGTAGCAATTGCATCACCTTTTCAGGTGGGAGAAGCAAGTTTACAGCCTGGCACTGGGAGCTGCTTCCAGTGTGCCATGTGCCCTGGGATCAGGGGACAAGTGACTGTGTGATGCTAATTCTCTTCCTGTACACTTAAGTCAGTGGTCTTAAATTTTACCATCTTTTTTTATGAAGTTGACTGGAATTCTGCACCTTCATTTCCTGACAGAGGAAAGTGAGTTGATGTTTTGTTTTTTACATGCTGTGTTCACAAGATAGTGAAGGCAGTGATTCTGCTTGCATTCAGAGCTTGACTGCAAATCCTGAGAAGATGATGTATCAAGCATCGCTCAGATGTGGTGCAGGAAATGGCCTCAGGACTGTTTGTATTAAATTCAGCCCTTTTACCCTTTAAATCACTGGGGTCTGTCAGCCTTGAAACGCCTTCAGGGGCTTTATAGCATCACACCTGTGCAAGGCAGACTGAAGTGTGGTATTTCTTCTGGCACCTCCTCCGTCAGGCAGCAGCGGCAAAAGGAGCCGCTAGGTCTTTCCCAGCAGCAGCCATTGCTTTGCTGTGTCACTCAGTCCACAGCTTCAGGAAAGCCATCCTGGTCACAATTACAGTGCTCCCATTTCCTGGTGTAGGTTGCAGAGAATTGTGAAATATTCTTGGGAGGGGAATTTTAGAAGATTCCAAAGGAGAACCTACTGCATTTCAGGCAGTAACTGTGTGTGACGCTGCTGGGTGAGTTAATGGTTGAGAAGCCTCCAGCACTTAATGTGTCCATCACTTCATGTCCATTAATGTGTTTTGAGTTGGATGATGCATACGTACACCTTATAAAAATATCTACTACTGCAGTGCACAAATTTTACAAATGCTTGAGTGTAGGGAATAAATGCATTTTATTATTGCTGCTGATCGCTTACTGTAGCAGAAATTTTTGGCTTCAGGAACTTGCAAAAGTATATATAAGCTTCTCCTTGTTTTATAGCTTTCATTTTTTTCCTGGAAGAAGTACTGAAACGCTATTCCGAAATTCTACTTATGCTACTGAGCCCCTTTCTCAGAAGAAGAAGCACTGAGAGAATTCTGATTAGTGAATTGCTAATACTTTTGGGAATGACAATCCTTCCAGTAGATCTTTTTTTCCTAAAACTTCTGTGGATTTCTGACTTCTTTCTGTCTAAATGTACATCTTCAGTTTGAGAAGAGCTGCAATGAAAGTTGAATGCTCACCTGTGCTTATGCTGTAGAAGAGGAGGAAATCTTCCAATATCTGACCAGCTTTTCATTGTTGGGAAGAATCTCATCCTGCTACCAGGGCTTTGGCATCAGTTAACATGCTTGCTGTAATCTGTTGACAACGTGTGCCACCACGGTTTCGGCCAGTAGAAGTAGAGGCTGTTATCTGAAAAGTGAACTAACAGGATAGTTCTATCCCTGGCTTTTGGAGGGAGCTTTAATGATTAATACATTTACAGGTTAATTGGCTTGGCAGCATATCTTTGGAACAGACTGCTTTGTAAAGAAATATTAAGGAACACAATTAAAAATACGTACATCAGAGATTTTGCTTGTTTATTCAGTCATATTAAGTGCAGGACTAACCTTAAATATGCAAGGAAAAGCCCAGGTCCGAATAGGCTGACAGATGTCCTTGGTGATTAAATTTCAGCACGCAGACAGTGAGTTTTCAACCTGTAGAACAGCACAAGCCCTCAGCACGCAGCACAGCTACGATGGAGAAGTTAATGGCACTGCTTAGCTTGATTCCATTCAGTGGTAGAAGGGAGAATACTTTATCAATAATGCACTTTATGCTTGTCTATAAGCCTCTTGATTTGTTTAATGTATGCTGTTGGCAATTATAGAAAGGAAACTCCATCATTTCCATAGTGAGCATATGGAGAAAGCACACTTTGTGTATGATTGCTGTTTTAGAATATGAAACATATTAGAGTTGCTACTGGAGAAGAATTACCTGCTTATATGAACATTGATTTGAAGTTAAAAAAAGAAAAAAAAGTCCTTGTAGACTTTTCAGTGTTTCCATGAAGCTGTTGCTCTGTACTGAGGAGTGGGGTCAGCCCGGTGACTGCAGAGTCTGAGTGCTGTGCACAGGAACATGCCCTGTGTGTGTGGCATCCTCTTCCAAAAGGCACAAGAAATGAGCAGCCTCTCTTGTGTACACAGTGCAGTAAGTGCTTCTTGCCTGGATTTCTGCCTGGTGATGTTTCACACCAGAACCTTTGGTTGTACAGCATTTCAGAAACCTTAACAATTTTTGATTTCTCTCCAGACTGCAGTTTAAAGAAGAAAAAAGATAAATCATAATATAGTCTCTGTGTCACAAGACTTAGATTCTCATATTTTAGTTTGCTGTGACATTCTTCCAGTAGATATAATTGTTACCCTCTTGTAATCTGCCCCCCTTTCTGTGCTTACTGAGGTGCAGCACATTCCCCACTGCTCACCCCCGTTAGAGTGCACTGGTGGTATTGGAGCAAAACAGTTGCAGGGATGGACCAGAGGAAAGGCAGACCCAGGTGATGCCCATGTTAGGAGCCATGCTTTCTGCTAACAGAGACATCTCCTTGCTTTTCCCTCCCTAATGCACCTTGCCCTAGGTGGTTCACCTCTGCACTGCTGCCTGGTTTTATTTCTTAAATGTGTCTTTAAAAGAGCTTCCTAATGCAGCTCAGAAGGGGAGGAACGATCACCAGCAGGTGATTTACACAGTAATCTGTCATCTGTTTTCTAAATTGAGTTGTTCCGGTTTTTAATCTCTCTTTCTATTACATGCAGTCACAAGATGTAACTTCTTTGGTGGTCAGATTGATGTAGGGTTTTAGATGAGCACTGTGCTTTCGGAGTGTGTCAGGTTTCTTCGTAACTTTTTATTGGAACTTAATTTTTGACAAGCTAACACCTAAAATGTAACGTTACTTGGAATAAATTGAATTGTTTGTTTCCTCCAAGTAAAGGAAAATGAAGGATTTGCCACTTTAAGTCCTGTTTAAATGAATAATCTTTCCTGTGCTGTAAATGTCAGCCTCTAATGAGGTGTGTCTGAGGGAAGAACAGAGTGAACTTTAAGAGGAAAATCCATGTTGTTCCTGTTGAGGGACAGCTGGAAACGTGAGGAAGGCAGATGGCAGGCTATTTAGTTACACCTGTAATCTGCAAAACCTTGCACAAAAATTAGGTGAAGAATATTTCTGAAATTGACCTTCTGGTGAACTTGCATCATTTTCTTTTTTCACTTACTTGCTGGATGTTTATGACCTTATTATTTGCATTACTAGATTACCCTATACTGAAATACTGTGCCTTTTATAGGGTTAATCCATTTGAGAAGGACATGCGTGTGATTGCTCCCTTCTCTTCCCTCCTCTTTTTTAACGCTGCAGAGCATCGTTTTGAATTGAAATAGTCCATAATGGTCCTTTTTTTCACTTTTCTTTAACAACATGAACACTAAATTACAGCTGTGCAATTATGTAAACAATGAAAATGCTTCCAGAATGAATGCTTCCTTTTAAATTTTCATTTTGTGTAATTGCTGAAAGGTTTGGAGCCATAATAAACCAAAATTATTTTACACATTTATCGTTCTAAAGGTCAATTATGAAAGAAGTAAAGAAACAACGCTGTACAGAATGAGTAAACCAATTTCTATTGCCATCACCATATGTTTTTCTTATTGCTTGTGTTTTTCCAGTTACTGTGTACATAGTATTCAATTAAAGTGATTCATTTACTAGGCTGTACGCTGCTGAACACAGTTTACATTTATAGAACTGCACTTCGGAGGGAAGGAAGCAACTTGCCTGTGTTTGAATTACCTGATTTTTGCAATATCACTGATAGGACATATGTTCTCACTTGGTTGCTTTCTCATAAACCCGAATCTTTTGATAAGCTTGCAATGCTACTGAATTACTACGTGAAATCACGCTTCTCTTGTTAGCTGTGTTGCACAGCAAAGCGTGCTAATTGGGAAATAGAAGCAAATTTGTCAGATTTTACCAGTAAGTGCCTTCCTGGGGGGTGGTATCTTTCCAATCTGTTCTATTTGGAGCAAGCTCAAGTCAGGTACGAGATGTTCAGCACATATTCTGTCCTGTTTGACAGGAAGCAGTTGCCGTCTTTGCGCGGTGCAGTGCACTCACAGGTATGAAGGTGCTGAAGCGGGGCTTCCACTGACATTTCTTTACCCTCGTTTTCTGAAATGTCCATTCAGGGCAGCGGCCGGAGCTGAGGAAGCAGGGCAGTCGTTACAGCGGTGTTTAACAGATGGGATTGATGGAGCGAGGGCAGGAGTTAACGCGCTTGTTTGTAGCAGCTCTTTGTACTTCCTACGTTTTGTTACCTTTTAAGCCAGGTTAGCCCGGGCTCTTTTATCGTGGCATATGTCAACAGGAGTGTGCTCCCATCTGCCGCTCCATAGTTTGATGCCCAATTATTCAGAGACCAAACACATCGCAGTACCTGGCTCTGGTCGTAATTACAGGTGTGTTGTGCTGCGAGGAGCGTGGTGCATTAATCAGCCCCTTAATTATGAAAAGGTGGGTCTTTTGTTCTGCTCCGAGCAGGAGTTTACCACCCACTTTATGAGCTGCCGCATCCATCTGCTCTCTCTTTCCGAATGTTTGCCTTGACTGATATTGACTTTAAAATGTATCAAAGGAAGTGATTAAAACTAGTTTAAACATTAACTCGAGTGGCATTCTAGCTAATTCGGGAAAGTGGAAGCTTTATGTGGTGCTGCATTAGAAACGAGCGATATTTATCTGGTAATATTTTAGATATATAATGCTATTATTTCATAGGATGTTGCTGCTGTAAACGCTCAGTCAAACCATAGATAACTTTTGTCCAGGTGTTGAGCAATGCTCACAGAAAACACTGGTGTGGCTAAAGCGTATCTTCAGGCAGAAAAATCCGTCTGACTTCTTTTGCTTCTGATGTAGAAGTTTAGCATAAGGACACATTCTGGGGCTAACATTGAACTCTTCACTGCCACATTGTGAAAGCAGTAAGGGCAGACACAGAAAATTGTTTTTCCTTTGCAATTTTTCTTCGAAATTTTATCAAGAACAGAAATAATCTGCTAATCAGTATGGAAATAAATTTATTAAACTATGTAACATAGCAGGTGAAGATTTAGCTTTATGCCCGATTGCAGATCTCCTATAAAGAAAATCTCAAATATGGAACTTGTCTCTGTCTGAAGCGTCTGAAGAATTGTATGAAACCTGGGGAAGGATTCAAGCTGAAATGCTTAACTCAGATGTTTTCTGTGTCGTAGGGTGATTATGAGAGCAATCTGTTCCTGGTGGTTTGCTCCTACAGATGCAGTGCAGGCTTTAAAAAAAACACACACACAAAAAGCAAGTAAAAAATAAAAAAAGACTTTCATCAAATGTTCCCTCCCCAAGGCTCACCCGTTATCTTAATTATTTAGAATAGTGGATTGTAACAATCTAGTTAACACAGGTTTATCTGTGTTACTGTGCTGAGTGCAATCGCTTCTTGCATCTGACTTCACTGTTTCTCAACTTAGCCCAGAGGGGCTGAAAAATCCCTGACATGCTAGAGCTGCCAGCAGTTGTAAGCTACCTGCTTTGAGCTCCTTTGGGAAGAGGCAAAAGCAGTTTGTGTCATTTCATTATTTTTATGGCTACAGAATTCAGAGTAATGTGATTTTAGGAAAAAAAAGCAAACAAAACTCATTTGGAATGGGGTAAAACATCCATCTTAAATTGATTAACAGCTTGGTTGTCTTCAATCCAAAGCCTTGTTTCACGAGAGAGCAATTGTTTTACACTTGGAAATGGCAGGTGTTTGTTTTAATAGGAATTTCAGACTCTCAGTGTCACAGTGATACTGAACACTCTTTCTGCTAAAAGCACTTGTATTGCTGTTATGTGTGGCTCAGTGAAACATCACTTGGATGAGTGTGGAAATGGTCAGTTACCAACTTAAATCTCCTCCAACTCCCCCTTTAGGGTTTTGGTGGGTTGTTATTTATAGTCATTTCTTTCTCAAGCAGGTAATTTCTCTTCATTTTTCAGGATATCTTGAATACTGTCATAAAGCATTGCCCACCTTGGTTTTTCTTCCTGGGCTTGCCTGGCTTTACGATGCTGATAGGAGACTTCATCACAGCAGCAGCCAGAGTGCTGAGCACAGACCTGCTGGAGGTGAGCATGGCAATGCCCAGCCTGGGAGCCCGCTTGCTAATGAGCTTAGGATGTCTGCACTCCAACAGGTGTGGGCTCATTAGTGCAATGCCAGCCGGGGCTCTTGGGGCAGATACCATGGCAGCTGATGCGTGAAAGCGAGGGGTAGGGTGACACACTACTATTGCAAAGGTGTTTCATCAAAAGGCCAAAGTGTGAGAAATCATATCCTCACCAACGCTGCAGCATGTTTGCATGCTAAAAGCAGGGCTTAGATTTCAGAATCCCATTAGTGTTTTTCGCTGAATATTGAAAGCACGGAGCTTGTTGGGTGATGCAGAATGTTTTGCCGAGTATCAACACTAACAGAAATAGGTTTATAAATGATTAGATTAACGAAGGCAAATAAAAGAGCAAAGTAAGGATGGAGGCCAAAATAAGGATAATGACCCGACAGTCGTGGAACAAAAAGGGAAGTGTTGGAACTGCATTTGAAGGAGACCTTTCTGTCCATTTTGAGTGCATGTTTTTAGTGCTGCTCTGTGCTGCTGAGCGGATGGCTTGGGGACACAGACCTCTCGGGTTTCAGCAGAAGTGAGCAGTGAGCTGCATTGTCCTTCAAAGCACTTACAGATGTTCATTTATTGGCATCTCTTTAAAAAAAAACAAAACCTCATCAGCCCGATTACTGAGAAAGCTTAAAATGCTAACAAGGAATGAAAGCTCCACTTTCCATGGAAAGTGTTCTAAAAAAACCCCAAAACACCTCATTGATGCTGCAAGCATAGAACTTAGTGCGTGATGTATTTTCAGCAGGCCAGAAATGTACAAGCAGTGCCAGATCTATGCTGAAAGAAGAAAATATTTTCATTTACTTTTCCATTTTGTTAGGCTCCCCGTTCAGAAGCCCATACCATCCTTGGGTCTCTTGTTTGCTTTCCAAATATCTATCAAGAAATCCCACTATTGCAGCCCATTTCAGAAGCTGGTGAGATCATTGCTGGGAGTGCCGATGTAAAGGTAAAGCCACGCTTCATTAGATCTGTATGTAGCCTAACCTATCTTTATTATTTAACCACTTTATTTTTACTGTACACTTTTTGTTTAAATACTAAATCCCTCCTTCTTCTCCAAACCACAACAGCACACACATGTACTTACTTGATAAGCATTGCTTTGCTTAACGTGCACCATAAGATTAACGAAGCCTAGATAGTACAAATTGCATTTTACTTTCAAAGAGAGTGAATTGGCTATAATCAAATATTATGTTTTCCAGCCAGATGTCTGCAATGTCAATTCATTAAATGGTGGTGGTGGTATTATTTAAAGTGTCCATTCAGTGCATGTCTGTGTATTAGCTTGTCCTCTAAGAAATGTGGGGTGTGCATAAGGGGGACACAGTTTTTGCCTTATTGGTATTATAGTAAAATGTTAAGTAAGTTCCCCAATTAGACAGAATCCCTAGCTTTACATGAATTATCTTTGTCTAATAAGTAATTTCAGTGAGATACCCTGGGATGTTCACTGTTCTACTGGATGGAAAGCTTTGTAATTCAATGACTAGCAAAAACAATCTCAAAGGAGAAAAAAATACACACTCTCTCCACCAAAGACCCCAACAAATATGACCTGGAGCATCACTTGCTGGTGAAACCCGCTCAATTAGCCTTGTACTAGCCTCAATAAATGTGAGGCACTTTTCTAATCCACTGCAGAAAGATTAGGTAAAGGTAAGGAGGAATCTCTGAATTCCTTTTGTGGCTTTTGAAGGTAGAAATGGAGAGAACGCATGCAGCTCCCACTCTTGATTTGTTCATTAGGCCCCAGACTCTTATCCGAAGTGTGTTAAAGCAGCCTAGATTTTAAAAGTCTCTTTTCCTTATTAAAGAAGACACTAATTTTTTTCAAAATATGGCTCCCTTAATGCTTGAGCACCATATATCATATCAGGAAGTGCTGAATACTCCCAGTTAGTAATACCTGCCGACTCTGAAAATGAACTGATTTCCATCACGCTGCCTGTATATGATTTTGAGTCGATTAGATTTATCCACGAGGGTCTGTATACCTGAATTATAATGAGTAAGTAATTCTCCTTTGACAAATTAAACTTGTTGTGTAAGTACTTTAAAATAGCCTGAGACTTAGAGTTCATTTTGTCTGTGATTACGTCAAAATTAAACAATTAGAAATAAAGTGGATACATGAAAAAGTCACTTATTGTAATTGATTGTATTGTTTTAGTGCTACCTCATTAATATTTTACTGAAGAATGCTACAGAGGAGCCAAGTGAAGCTGCAAGGTAAAATACTGAGTAAAGTGAAAAATAAGTGTCAGAAGTCTTTCTCCCTACCGATTTTTCAGTCTCTGTACAGCTGAATTTTTTTTACACCTGCCTTGTGTATTGACCTGTTGAGTTCTGCAGCCCTGTTGAGATAAAGTCCATCCTGTACTGTTAAGATCTTGACCTGTTGTGTGACCTGGGGGAGGTAAAAGAGATCTTTGTACATTGCTTTCCCCATCTTTGCTCATTCTTTTTCCAGGGTCTGCTTATATTTTGTATACTTTGAAGGAAAAAGATTTGTTTCCCAAAGATGGCATATATTGTGGTTAAGTGCCTTGCACTTCCAAAGTTCTGTTCTGTTTAAAATGTGCTTAAAATTGGAAGAAATCATATCTTAGGTGTGTTGGCCTAGTTGGTTTGTTGCTATTTTTTTTATTCCCTGATTGATTGAGGAATAGTCTTTGACAAATTCCTTCAAGATTCTTTGTTAGGAACTGTATAGTGAAGCTGTACAGTGATAGCTACTGTCTGATGGAGGGAGTGGTTCATTCCAAAGTGCAAATTTGAGAAGAATGAAGGGTAAAGCAAAACTGGACTCTTAAAACTTCTGACAAAAATGTTGTCTCTTTCAAAAAAGATGCATAGCCATTTGTGGCCTTGGAGTTTGGATATGTGAAGAACTAACACAGTGCACAAACCACCCTCAAGTGAAGGAAGCAATCAATGTCATAGGTGTGACACTGAAGGTAATACTGCAGCAGTCTCTGTAGTTAACATACATTTTGTGAAAATGGCACTTGAAGTTTTGGAACAGTTGTTCCTGCTTACAGGAGCACAGTGTGCTGGTTGGTCTCTGTTGCTTAAAGAATGTCAGGACGTTACTTGAGATCTCTGCATAATGTTAGGAATGACATTGGCCATCATCTAGAAAATGCCTTCTGGTTCTGAAGCTTTGCATATACGTAGTAGTTTATTATCTCTGGTCAGAGTGCTCCAGATTCTTACTGCTCCTTTGAAGTTGCTAAGGAATAAATGTGCAGTTCTTCAATGGGGCAGTTGTGACATCCTGTATAGAAATGCAAAGTTTTTACAAAAATGGCATGTGAATATGCAGCTAGAGACTCCTATATATAAAATAAGAGAATATGATATTATAATCTCAAGACTATGCAGTTAATGTTGTCTGCTGTTCCCTAATGCTGAGTGTGTGATTTTGCATACCATTTTTTATTGGTTGTATGGATGGAGAGTAATTTAAGAAGTAGAAAAATAAATTGCATTGTATGATGCCTACACATTTATTTTGTTTTTAACTACCTTTTCTTCTCTTCCAGTTTTCTAATAAACTGGTAGCTCAGGTAGCCAATGATGTTCTTCAGCTGCTTGTTTCTTACTGGCAAAAGCTGCAGGAGTATGAATCATCCCTGCCCAGAAAAATTACTGAAGTATGTCAGTTTAAGATATTTGGATGGAAATCATATGTAAAGTTGTCTTAATTGAGCTGCTGGAACCCCAACTGTCAATTTCTTCTGCAAGTATTGTTAAGAGTTTTACTTGCTGTAGTTGGAAAAGCAGCATGCATTACTCATCTTTTATTTTCAAAATGCTCAGCAAAACTTTGTTTCACCTGTGTGTTGATTTACAAGGGCAGCTAAATGCTTCTAAGAGACTTTACCCTTTTTCATGCCCTGTTCAAATGAAGTTTGTTCTCTGCCTTTGTAGTGAAAGATATTAAACGTCGTTCTCAAATTCTGCTTCTTTTCACGTAGATCCTTGTGGCCACTATTGCATTTCTCCTGCCAAGTGCTGAATACTCCTGTGTGGAGGCAGATAAAAAGGTACGTCACCAAAGTGAGGAGTCTCTGTTCTTTCTTTGTGCTGTTTGAGCAAATCATTAAGTGAAGTGGCTTTGAACCAATCTTATTTCAACCTTTCAAGCGCAGGCATTTAAGCATGTGTGGATTTGATAGATAATACCTTAATACCATGCTACTTGTTTCTGTTTAGTTTATAGTTTCGTTGCTACTTTGCTTGTTGGATTGGTGTATGGCATTACCTATGAAAATGCTGCTGGAGCCAGTGTCTGCTGGTGTCCTTGAAGATCAGCATGCATCCAAAGCTCCTTTACTGGATTATATTTACAGAGTGAGTATGAGGAATGAGCATGATTTATTATGCCTGAAAGTTTAAAGATGCTTTTTGGAGATCCTCTTAGGCACAGGAGGATTTTGAAGCATGCTGTAGAGAAACATGAATTCTCAGGGTGTGGGCAGAATCCTACACGTGAGAAGTCAAGAATTGAAAATACTAAGAACAATGAGATCGATGTGATGGATCTTGAAAAGAAAAGTAGTTTATTTGAGGTAGAGACGTGGAACACAGAAAATGATGACAAGAGAAAGGCAAAACGCTCAATAGCAGGGATCCAGAGCAAGTAATCTCAGCAGAAGTGTTTGAATAATTTGGAGTGGCCTGTTAAAATGCACAAGTTATTAAATACAAAAGTCCTGAAGTGAACTGTTAAAGTACAGAACAAGCAGCAAAAAAGAGAGTTATTGTAAAAGCACCAAATTGGATGTTTTTGTAGCATGTGCTGGCTGTCATAATGTCACATCACAGTGGGTCACTCCTGGCAGTGTAAGCTGGTACTGCTGGCTGTTCTTCATCACTCCCTCAATCCCACACTTGTCTGCTCACAGGTTTTGCACTGCTGTGTGAACGGCTCCAGCACGTACACCCAGCAAAGCCATTACGTGCTGAGCCTTGCGGATCTGTCGTCTGCTGACTATGACCCCTTTTTGCATCTGGAGAATGTCACGAGCTGTGAGCCAGCCCAGTGCCACTCTGCCACCGAGCTGGGCAACCTGCTCACTGTTGCCGAAGGTAGGAGAGTTCACAGAGCGTGATGAGGACCAGCGTGTCTATGCTGGGATGTCGGAGTCAACAGCTGAGATTAGCTCTAAATCAGGTTTCTCTTGGGAGCGTGCAGCAGCCTTTCTTGAATCTTTTATTAGAAATGACTCCATGATTTACCTGTTCTGAGCGATTGCAGAATGACATGTGTGATTTGAACCCAATTCTGTAGGTGCATAAATGCAGTATTCCTGCTGACTCACGGTGCTACCAGTGTCAAAAGTGAAAAGAGATTATTTGGATCTGGTTGCATCGTGTTACACACTCCTTAAAAGCAACTCAAGTATGTATCCAAACGTATTGAAGCAATTTTTAAGTGTTTTATCTTAGAAACCACCTTTATTTCAAACACTGTTAAAAGTTTTCAAAGCAGCGGCTGTTCAACTTTGCATTAATTGTTGTCATGTATTAATATGCCTTAGTTAATTTCTGCAGAAGAATCTAAAGTAAAGATGCAGTGTTAAGTAGTACAAGCAATTGTTGGTTTTAGAATGTTGCTTTAAAATAGCGTTCAGTTTTTGATACTTCACTACTTCACTGTTTTTGAGTCCTACAGCTTTTTAATTTCTTTTTTTCTGTATACATGTTTTCAGTTTAAACTAGAAGAAAAAAAAGGAAACAAAGATTTTACACAGATCTCTTGCTGAGTAGGGGCATTGTAAATAGCAGGAAGATAAGGAGCCATGTCAGGTGTGTTTGTTGTTTTAGTTAGAGCAAGATATTTCTCATCTCAGAGATGATAGTGGTCTACAATTGTTTTAGGTTAATTGTTTAAAAAAGAAATTCAGACTGGAGCAGGCAGAGGTTTACTACCTGGGAGTTCATGGAAAGAGTGTGGAGTCTGTTTTTCTGAGGGGGAGGTTGAAGAATTTTTGGAGGCTAGCAAAATGAAAGCTCGAAAGGGATATATATACCTGTTGTCTAGAAGTATATTAGAAGGTATAAAGAAAGAAAGAAACACTGTAAACTGAAGAAAAAAACAAAGTTAAGCTGAATATGAACAAAGTTACCATAAAAAAGAGAAAAAATCTGAGCATAAGTGAGATATAACTCTGAAACAGTGCTCCAGTAGAGGAACTGGAGGCACAACACAACTCCAGAGCCCTGCTGGTTTGAGATAACTGTGATGTATTTGCCTGTGATGAGGGCCTGTCTGTGGATCCTGAGAGTCTCTCACCTGATGCAGTGAACTTTACCACGATGCTGTTTTCAAATGAAGCTACAAGTGGAGAACCAATGGTTTTTAGTTGCACCTCTCCATTGCTTTTGCTTCTTTTCCCCTGTCCCTCTCTTGATCTGACTGCTGGGGTGATGACTGTGGGAATGTTGGAGGTAAGGAGGATCACCTTAAGGTGCCAGGTGAAACTGCAGTGATAGCAGTGGTTGTGGCCCCCTGTGCAGTGCTGTGTGTACTTCTTACAAACTGTATGAAGACCTGGATGTCACTGAAAGCTAAATTTCAAAGAGTGCTGAGTAAAGATGTGTGGTGGGTAGAATTGCTTGGGCAGTGGTTGTATATAGTTTCGTGGAAAGGAATGAATGTGAGAATAACCTTCTAAAACAAGCCAGAAATTATCAGATGCTATTTTTAATTACCTCTTGTTGGTTTTACTGATCTGTTACCTCTATTGGTTGTTTCAGAAAAAAGGAGAAGGAACTTAGAACTAATACCTTTGACAGCACGGATGGTTATGACTCATCTGGTGAATCATTTGAGCCACTACCCACTCAGCGGAGGTCCTGCCATCCTCCACAGTCTCCTCAGTGAGAATCATGACAACTCATATGTGGAATCCTCTGAGCTGTCATCAGAAGTCTTCCGGAGCCCCAACCTTCAGCTCTTTGTGTTTAATGACAGTACTCTTATATCATACCTCCAAATTCCTGCAGACAAAAGGAAAGACACTGAGCCAGCAGTAGCCCCCTCGGATGTAAGGGTAATTGTCAGAGATATCTCAGGGAAGTACTCTTGGGATGGCAGAATATTGTATGGACCTTTGGAGGGCTGCCTTCCACGGCAGAACACAGCCAACTCATTTGTGATTTCAGGCAGCTGCGAGCACCACTTCAGTTCCCAAAAAGACATTTCTCAGGTGGAAGAAGGAGAAGATGCTCTTGACAAATTACTGGAGAGGATTGGTAACACCAGTCCTGAATGCCTTTTACATCCCCAGCGGAAGCTGAATGAGCCATCGCCACCGCCCTTTGGAATGAGCTGCGAGCAAGAGAATGCAATCACTGAAGCCCTGATGAGGCAAAGTACCCAGGAAAACGAGTACATTTTAAAATGCAGCTCAGACTTCAGTATGAAGGTGGCCCGTCAGGAAGAACCGCGTCCTGCTGAACCCCAAGCATCCTTTTATTTCTGTCGGCTGTTGTTAAACGACTTGGGAATGAACTCCTGGGATAGAAGGTAGGAATGGAGGGCTCAGGACACGTTTACTGTGCTTTTGCAGCTTCTGACCCCCCAGAAATAATCCAGATCCACCTACTGTCCCCCCCCTGCTGTAGCTCTGCTCTTGTGACTTACAGTCATCCCAGGAAGACTTAGTCTGAAATTCTATAACTTACTTATGAGTCTGATGATTTTCAAGGTAAATTTTGCTCTCTTCTACTTCCAGATGTATGCACACTTAAAAAGGCAAGAATTGTGTAGCTGGTTGGTAGTCAGAGCACAGTTTTGAACTTTTACGTATACCTGCATCCATGAATATTTTTTGCAGACAACTGCAGATTATTTAGAGTAGAAAGAAAATGAATTTTCATTAAGTTACGCTAAATTGATTCCCTTCTCTCAGGAATTTGAATGAGAAAATAGTCTGTCCCTTATTGCATTTTCTTTCCTAATTATTTTTATATATTTACAGGAAGAGCTTTCACCTTCTGAAGAAAAATTCAAAATTACTGAGAGAACTGAAAAATCTGGATTCTCGCCAATGGTAGGTGATGTTTACTGGCTCAGGGTTTCAAAAGAAAGAGTAAGTACATCACCAAAACCAATCACTGAAATTGCATATGCTAGCAGTACAAAAACTTGTATGAAAACACAGAACTTTTGTTTCTAAAAAGTTGCAGCACCTGACTGGACAAGCTATTTTCAATGGCACTGTATACACAGAATTCAAAATAACCAGCAGTGAGACACACCAGCCTGTTTCCTGTCTTCTTTAGCTGAGAGGGGAGGGAAGAAGTTGCAGAATTTCTGATGACTTTGCATCGACTCACCCAAAGGAATTTTCTGCAGATTGACCCCTCTGTCAAGAGCAATACTTTTAAGGGATAATCTTCATTTCACTCTTTTAGAGCCAGGTAGAATAGAGTTCTGAATATTATGTTTCATTTTCATTCCTTGGCACGTTTGCAGAATTGTAGAGTTCTGATTTTCTTGCATTCCAACAATTTTCATACCAGATCAGTTGTAACCATCAGCTTAGTAAAACTCATCCCAGGAGCTAAAAGTCAGTACATGCTTTTTTCTTTCTCATATATCATTACTCCATAATTAAAGTTCTGTTGGTCAGATTTTACAGCTCATTAACAGCTGTGCAGTATTACTGTCTTCAGCAAGGTTGCACAGATGTAAGTGATTAACCCTGTAATTGGAACTTGATCATCAGTTCTTTGGCTGATGCACAGAAAGAATGGCCCTTGCTCTGCTCTCTGAACAGCAGTGGCTCTGCAGTGTGGTTGTAGGGAAAGAAAAAATAGATGAACGTACGTAATTCTAAAGTTAAGTGATGCATTTGTGTGCATCAAAGGAACAGGCATAGAGTGAAACGTGGCTTTAGAGTGCAGGTGATACAAGGAATAATTTGACCTCTTCCACTTTTTGTAATTCTCATTTCTTGTTTTATCTAATTACAGCCGTGAAACTCACAAGATTGCAGTGTTTTACATTGCAGAAGGACAGGAGGACAAGTGTTCAATACTGTCCAATGCCAGGGGAAGCCAGGCATATGAAGATTTTGTTGCTGGACTGGGTTGGGAGGTAAAATCACATATTTAGGCAAAATCATGATTTGAAGACCTATGAAAATCAAGTGTAAGCCAGTTAAAGTAGGTGAATGGAGAACAAACTGCTTGTATACCTGCTCATTTGTTAATTCTTGAAAAAGTACATTTTAATGCACAGTAATATTTGGCAGTACTTCAAAGGTCATTTTATTTGGCAGAATTCTGTAAATCCAAATGTTTTGGATGTTTGCATCATTTCTACAAGCTGGGATGTATTGTAGGTTATTTAAGACTTCTGTTAGCTATCAGAAACGGGGAACAGGAGAATGTTGTATTACAGAGTACAAAGAGGATGCTTTTTAGGCTAATGTGTGACATGGTCACGTGAAGCTGGAAGTAAACATCTTTCCATTCTCCCTGCTTTAATGAATATTGCTTGGAAGGTGAATGTAAATCCTAGGGCCTGTGGTGTCCCAGGACTGTAACATTTTAAATGAGTAACATTTCCCCTGTTCTTCAATTTCCCATCTCTTTAATTTTCAAAACCTTTACTTACTTTATGCTCCTCCTTGCTTTTTCTCTGCCTTTTGGTCAGATTTTTCTAGTCACCACGAGCTCAGCTGAGAGAACTGAATGCTTCAGAGAGTTTTCCTAGAGCTTCTCATCAGGTTGCAGTGGTGGTCAGATTGTCCACCTGGCAGAAGTCCTGAGAGCTTTTGTCAGAGTGACTGAAGAAGGAATTCTTCCTTTTTTTTGTGCCTTTCACCAGCAGGGTGTACAGCACTTCTACCTCACCTGTTTGCTGTGCATGCTTAGCAAGCACAAAGTGCAATCCCTTATAATATAATTTCATAATTTGTTATCACTGTTGTTGCATCCTGTTTCTGATGGGCAGGTGGTGCTGCAGTGGTCATTTTAAGAATGCTTTCTGTATTGTTAATAGCTGTAGCTTAATTTTACCTTAATTGTAGCTCGTTTTAGCTCTTCACATGGTTGGGTCACTTACGCAAGCAAAGGACTGCTGTGCTAAAGGCAAAAACACTTGAGTTTAGTTTGCTTTTGTCAAATGATATGTTGGTAACCTAGAAGACACTGGCATTTATGTTTTTGGAGGGGAAATACACGGTAGCTGTATTTCACATCTAACAATTTAAGAGAAGTAAAGTCTCTGAGGAGAGGTAGCATCTTCAACTGGACTGATGCAGTTGGGAAAACATAAATTTTAGACACAGAGTTGTCTTCAGAAGGGCGTTTTCTCTGAATTATCTTTTAGAATAATTTCCTCTAGAATGTTTCTTTTAGTTTGGAATCTCAGTTTCTTGTACAGATGTCCTTAGTGCTTACGTTTTCTCTGCACCTTTTAATTAGCTCTCGCTGTGTATGCTTTGGGTGGGCTTGCTGAGCCACATGTAGCCCTACAGCTCTGTTGTTCCATTGCTGGTAGGAAGGCAGAATAGCCTAATAGGTACATAGTGGAGAGTTGTTTGTTTTGAGTAAATGTCAGATACAAAATGGGAAACCAACAGATCTAACGCTGAGATGACAAACCTGTACGGAAAGATTTATCTTCCTTTGGGATGGTAACAATCCCACCAGCTGCTGGTTTGTAAATAAGTCAGGTTACTCATCGATCCTTAAAAAAAGATAGATTTTTCTGATTATGACTGTCAATCATTTAGGTTGATCTCTCGACACACGGTGGGTTTATGGGCGGCCTGCAGCGCAATGGCAGCACTGGACAAACAGCACCCTATTATGCTACCTCTACCGTGGAAATCATTTTTCATGTGTCTACAAGAATGCCATCAGATTCAGATGATTCACTGACCAAAAAGGTAAGTCAGTTACTATGTATGTATTTCAAAGCATTCGATTTTGTGTGCTTAAATGAAGGTTTATACTCAAAGCAGATTGTGCTGACTCGTCCTAGCAGGCTCTCTTTTCTGTGCCACATGGTGCTCTGCAGCTAGATTATCTGAATTAAATGGCATCTAAATTCTGGATTCTGCAACACAATTAACATTTCCATGGTAGCCTTAAATACCACCATTAGTAATAATATTAGCAATAATTTCATTTGTGTGTTGTCTGCCTGCCAAAACTGCTGCAGTGTGCTAGAACAAAACAACCAAATGCAGCACAATAAAACTTTACAGATGAGCCGTCTAGTGTGTACCAGAAAAGAAAAGAAGTGAAAGAGAAGTGACACGCACAGTAGTAAAAGCAGCCAGCTGATATTTAAAACCATTATCCAGTTATTCACAGTTGTGACAAGCAGACTCTGCTTCAGAGATGGCTAGAAACCAGCCCAAAATTTCATTGGTATCAGTACTTGATGGTTTCTCTTTCCTAACGACTGATTTGAGATTATGCTGCTTGCCAACTGCTGCTTAGTCAAAGAAGATTTTAGGTGCGTAGCAAATCTTTGCTATTTTAATTAGGATTGGCAACTTGTCCTACACAGGTTGTTAATGTGCATTAATGCTACTACAGCCATCCAGTGTACCACGTGATACTGTTGTGCTCTGGAAATTAGCTATAAATACCACCAGATGATTTTTATTTGTTCTGCAGCTAGTTTTGAAATGATCTTTTCCTCGAAATAAAAAAGTGGAATTTCCAGTTACCACTCCTGAAAACTTGCCCAGTAAAGATGGAGCTTTTCTTTTCTTCACATACCTCATTTAAAAAAAAAAAAGTCAAGAAAATTCCATGTTGTCTTCATGTATGGATCTTGTTATCTGCATATTAGTAGATTTACACAGTCATCAGAGTGTTTAGGATAAGGAGGTATAGAGACAGAATAGTCTATCACTGAGCCATGGTAGGGCTGTCCGTTTTTCATTGTCTGTATCTGTTCCTGGCTGGTATTTATCCAGCTACTAGTTAAAAACTCCTATTCTGAATGCTTTATAATTTCCTTCAGCAACATACTCCAAGGCCTCACTTTCTGTACTGTGGAACTATATTTTGTATTATCTGCTTTGCTTCAGTTTAAGCCCATTTATTCTTACCGTATCCCACATGGTTCTAGAGAACAGATTACTTTGCAGCAGACTTACTCATGTTTGAGGTCTGTTTCTGTCTCTTTCCCAGTCTTTCTTTATGCTGGACTAATTGTGGTCATTTTACCTAGCTTAGACAGTGAAATATCTAGTCTAGCTGTTGAGTAATGTATCACCTGGAGAGGGAAAATGCACATTCTTACAGAGCCTAGGGGAAAAAAATGGGTTTTACTGGCAAATAGTCTGTTTTACTGATTCCTCTAATTCCTGTTCACATTAGTAACTAACCATGGAGCCATGGGGATAGTCTGGTTATTCTATTTAGTTGTCTTCCCTAAAAACAAGAAGTGAAAGCATTTAGTATTTTCCCGTCTTCAAGTCTTAAGCTGTTAGGAAACAAGGCCAGCTCCAGTACACGTTATCCAAACAATACACCTTGAAGTGGTTGCTCTAGAGCTTAATGAGACCTTAAATGTGTTATAGGAATAGAAATCCTGTTGGGATCCAACTCTATTCCTGTAAGGCAGGACAAAGCTTTGGGCAAACCAATGGAACTTGGGAGCTGGCCCTGCTGTAAGCAGTGGTTTGCTCTGCATGACTTCAGGGTTTTCTTTAATGTGGCATCTTCCATGATTCTTTTGAACAAAACAGCTTTATTTAATTTGCTATAGCTGTTTGGTAAACTGGAATTCATTTCTGAGCAAATTAGCTCAGACTTCTTAACAAACTTCACTGAAATGCAGCTAAGAGTGGACAGCAATATGCATTTCAGAGGGACTGTAAAATTTCTGTGGGATTGATAGATCTCTGAGTCATTGGCATTGCTGATGGATTAAATGGCTCACATTTGAAACTAGTGCTTTTAGCATGATGATGTATCCAGACCATTTCCAAGGACAGTATTAAACATGCTGCAGGTTAAGAGCTCGTACCACCTCAAAGGTAAACTCTGAAATTCCACTTGTGAATCTTGGCAGCAAGGAGGCCATATACTGAAGTTCTCAAAGGCATGTAGTACCTGTTCCATTTTAGTTTTTGCTACAAAAGAAATATATGGTGTTAGAGACCAGTATTACTGAGAGGAGAAAATGTCATCATGCTCCTGTTTGGGATGCAGTGGAGAGACGTTACCTTTTTCTTGCCTTCCTTGTGCTTCCATCAGACAGTATTGTGTGGTTGCTATTTGGAACCTAAACTCCCTCTTATCTCCTCAATCTTTGTCATTTCTGTGGTTTCTTTGCTTATTTTGCCTACAGACAGAAAGAATTCAATACCTGTCAGTTTGCTTGGCTCTTGAGCTCTGGAGCTGAACAGAAGGTCTTACCACCTGCTGGCCAAGGAAGTAGTAAAGCAGACCACAAGTTTTGTGGGCTAGGGAATGGAGCAGATGCAGTAATTTTACTTAATATGTTATTCTGTTCCTTTATTTTTACTGAAAATGAGGATAAATTCATTTCTGCTGTAAATTCACAGGGAAAAGTGCACTTCCACTGAGAATGAACTCAAACCTTTCTTTTTGAGCATTAGTAATTTGTACTTTGTATACCTTTATATGAAGTATAGGCTGATACATTGTTCATTCAGAAAACTGAACAAAAAACAGAACTACCACCACCACCAGAAAAAGAAACTACCCCAAGTCAAATAAAACAGCCCTGGAAGAAGTAATTTCTTGTACAGTTACAGAACAACAAAAATTCAGCTGCTATCTATTGCTGCTCCTAGGGTTCAGCATCACCGTTTCTAAATTTTTTTATCTGGATTTCTCGTGGTAAGAATGAAAATCAATCAGAGTAGCAGCATCCTGCAGTCCCCCATCTTGTTCTAACTGAATTGCATCTAACAGTTTAAAGATGGGCTGCAAAATTTTCAAGTGATTTATTCCACCTTCCCCCATTGTCATAGCAGAACTTTTTCAATTCAGAAATCTGCTTGCAACCCCATACTGAACTCTTGCTCCTTCGCTGCAGAAATTTGTTAGCTGGAGCTAGATTAGATTTTTAGCAGCTAATCTAACTGCTGTAGGGGTTTGCAAAGTGGGGACAGAGCTGTGCTATTGGATTTGTCCAATTCATTTGACTCCAGGACTATAATTGCACTTATGTCTTACAAGGCTTTTATAGCCTAGGGCTGGCGAGCAGCAGAAAAACAAATTGGCAGTGATACAGTAAGAGTGAAAGGGAATGAAAGGCACACATTATCAGTCTCCAGGCAGCACTGTTCTGGCAGGAAGTTTCTCGGTTAATTTACAAATAAAACTTAGATTTTAGGATGGGCGCACTGTCGGCCAAACAATGGGGATGTCAGGCCTGGCTGTTTCTTAGCGAAAGGAGCAGCCCTGCCTCCCCACAAGCAGGAATTCTTCGGGCAAACAGACGACTCCTCTCTGGAGCCAGCTGGCTGGGTAATGCAATTAGTGGGGAGAGGGGGTCAGGCCGAGGTGTGTGCCGCGACCGGTGCTGGGCCTCGCAGCCACGCGTGGCGGGCTGGGTGCGCGCTGAAACAATCGGGCTGCTTCTCCTCACTGGCGATTGCGTTGGGGTTTGGAGACAGATTCCTTCTTTCTCGACTGCTGTGGGCTGTAATAGAGCGGGTTCTTTTTTTCCCACCTGCGCGTGCCCCTGCTCCAGTCTGCGTCCCTTTGGCCTTTGGAGCAGCCCTGCGTGTTGGACATCGAGGCGAGCATACAGCCTGCGCTTGGACAGAGCCACCCCAGAACACAGCAGCTGCTGTGCTGCCGCCAACAGGATTGTCCTCATGGTTTTTATCAACAGAATGATCTCGTGAGAACAAATATTTTTGATGGGTGCCAGTTTAATGTCTATATAGATGCAGTGGTTCAGGACGTGTGATTTAAAAACAAAGATGGTAACACATGCTCTTCTGCTTTTGATGGGGATTGCAGCAAAACCAGTGTTTTATTTACATCTCTTCCTGTCCCAAACAAGCAGAGATTGAGCTAACGTCTTGTTTACCAAGCTTCGCTTTCCTCAGTGTGATCAAGTTTTAAACTCTTAGGGATTTTTTCAGCCTGAAGCGTTTGATTATTAGCAAAATAATTCATGGTGAATTAAAAAGCGGTGCTTGGATGTATTTTGATTCCTGTTTTGGTAGCTGTGTGTGCCTTGTATAATTCCCAACTAGGCGGCGAGGCAGTACCAACCCTTGTCTTCCAAGTCTTCCTTTTGGAGTAAAACGGATCAGTCTTCTCTTTAAATTTTCCTTTACTACTAGGCAACATGTTCAGGATGGCCATGACAGCTGTAGTTTGTGCTAATTTTATATGTGCAGGAAGCTCTAGCATTTCTAGTATTAATGTACCCACGTTTCTTATAGGTTCAGACTGTTTGCATTTTCTTCAAACAATTAAAAATGTCATTTATTCATAGCTTTAAATAAATTACAACTGTCTTCTGTTTCATTTAAAACAAACTGAGAACCTGAGTCCTTCTTTGAGCGTAGCTTTATTCTACTCCTCTAGACACTAAGCTGTAAGCAGCACTTGTGGCTTTGATTCCTGTCGTGGTTCATGGGTGCGCACGTTTCTCTTACAAGTGGGGCATCTTTCCCTCTCAGCCTTGTGGGATTGAAATTCTTTACATTAAAAGGCTCTACCTGGTTCTGAAGAGAGAAGTGCTTTGGTATAATATCAGCTGATACAAGGCTTGTGCAGATGATTTACCAATGAAAACTTTTGTTTTGCACAGAGCCAATGCAGAAAGCAGAGTTATGCTTGGACTTTTTGGTTAGGTGTGTTGTACGCATTGTCAGAGGCCTGGCACTAACTCAGGTAGTGCTCTTCTAGGGTTTAAGTGGGACTTAAGTTCTCTTTATGAATTGGGCTGACATTTTGCACGTGGATTAAATTTTAACTTTAAAGCTTACAGTTGGACCTATTGTGCATAGCTTGTATGTTATTGCCAAATACTTCTCACCATCTGTTAGGTCAGCTCCACTTCCTCCCATCACAAAGCGAGCACACAGTTCTTTAGATGGATTTGGGGTATGTCCTACTCAGAATTTATCTGCATTTTTTGCAGCTCTGCTCCAAATGAAGTAACTTCCCTGGTGTTTCACATTCTTCTGTAGTTTCAGTGGTCCAAAACACCACACTCACATTTTCAAACAAAAGCCTTCTCTGGACACACAGACAGCAAGAAAATAATTTTTTAATGCAATAAATTGAGAAATAGTCATTCATGCTGGGAAGTTTCTTGACATCCAGAGTCAAGGCATTTCTGTCACAGCCACCTTATTTTAACTGACAATTGTTGTCATGTATTTAACGTTTCATTCTAGCAGCTCAGATTCCCATCTTAAATTATTGTATATAATGTACATTTACATATCATTTTAATGGCTAGCTTGATAATTACTTAATTAAGCCATCAGAAAACAATGTGTTCTCAATGAAGCAAATGATTTAGCTGATCTTTTGATGAGCAAATGGAGAAAAACAACATTTTAACTTTTTTTCTGTAATGAAATATTTCTAGTATTGAACATTCTAATTCAATTTGTAAGCCATGACCCCTCATAAACTGTTGTTATCACTCTGATTAATAAAGAGCCAATTTGCTGTTGCAGCTTCGTCACTTGGGAAATGATGAGGTTCACATCGTCTGGTCTGAACACAACAGGAACTACCGCAGGGGCATTATACCAACAGATTTTGGAGATGTTTTAATTGTTATTTATCCGATGAAGAACCACATGTTTTTCATAGAAATAATGAAGAAACCAGAGGTACGTTTTGAATGCTTTACTGAATCTCTCATATCTCCTGCACGATTGACTGATAGGTAAAGCTCAATGTTTTAGAGTTTGTTTTTATTTTTTCCCAGCTAGAAATGCAAACAGCAATTAAAATATGCAACTAATTTTGTTATATTATGCTCAGTGCTTAAAGAACCACTTCAGAATTCTGATACCATGGAATTTATTGTGCACGTGATGAAATTCCAAAGTGAGCCAGTAGTAGCAAAACAATAAAGATTTAAATTCCACATTTGATATTGATCCACCTCATAGGATGTGTGTACTGCTGTACGTACAGCACCATGCATAACCTCACATGTTTTCAAGACCCTAACCATAATCTGAGTCAGTGGGATAGAGCGGGCATTGAATATTCTTACATCACACAGAGCATTTGAGTTTGTGTGCCATTTAGCTCATTGTTATGCAACCACATTTTAAGATATTCTTATTTTTTTAAGCAATGGATTTTGTTTCTTTAGCAGATGTCCAGAGCGTGCAAGTCCATGTCTATATGCATAAAAAAGAGCCCTGATCTATTAGCTGCTGGTGTATGTAGTGTGTACTTTATGAAAGTGATCAATGTGATAAATACAGTTTTCTTTATGTGAGGGACACTGTTTGTCCAAGAAAAATGCATCCATCAGGTGATGTATTCACTGGCTGTGCACTATTTTTTTAGATGGGGCTGTTATATGCCAGTAGGCATTGCAAACATGAAAATCTTTTGTACGTTGGAATATTGGGTTTTCTTTTCTTTGCACTTGATGTTGAGTTCTGCAATTTACTTCTTGGAATTTTTAACTTTGAGTCTTCCATAAGGAAATCCAGAGTTTAGCTCTGTGCTTGAAAATTCTCAGAATCAACCCGAGAAAGGCTGTGTCATCTTGTATATTAGTCAAAAATACCCAACGGGCAGAAAGAATAATAGGTAACTGGAAATTTAGTGTTATCCCTACATTTAAAGTGCAAACCATTACAATGTAATAAAATTAATCCAGACATTTCCAGGGCAAGTGTGGCTGACCTTTTGTTCACCAGCTACTGACCCCAGGGTGAATGAAAGAGGCTTGCAGAGAGAAATGTCTGTTGTTTGGCTTCGGTCCCTGGTATTTAAATTGCATTCCCTAATCAAATGAAAAGGCTGTCCTCTCTATCAGGTTACAGAATCCATGGCAACATTTGGCCTTTTATATACATAATGTTAGCCTTTTTGTTTGCATCTAAGTAGAGACACCTGGAGCAATGTTAACATTAACCGATTTAGCATTAATAGCTTCATTATATAAGAATTTCTGATCAGATAGCTGTTACTTTTGTTATATTGCTTCAGCTTGTATTGTTTTCATTTTTTATCTCCCTGCTTGGCAACGGGGCAATGATTTGCAAATTTTTTTTGTCTTGATTAATTAAGCAATATAATTATCAGGAACCGTGATGCAGTCTTTGCTCGACAAAGCTTCTGAGGGAAGACAATAGTAAGTCTGTTAGTGTGAATGCATTCCACGCGTCACAGATGCATGAGGATATTCTGAACAATGAGACGAAAAGCTGCCTGCAAAAGAGGACAAAGAATGCCAGGCAGACTCTACACACTGCACATACCGCCAGGGACATACTGCGGGTTCCCTGGGACACAGATGCCTTGTTAGATTGCAGCTAGTCATCAGAGATTAATTCTCAGCCATTTGGTACAATAATTTACCCATTCCCCAGTCTTTTAACTAGTGCTGCTTGCTATAGAAGCGAACTCTTTGTGCTCAGAAGGTTTATTTAACCTTGCCTACTTTTACTCTGTGCAACAAAAATAATTTTTTTTTATCCTGGTAATTATAATGAAGCAGGTGGTTGCAATGTGGTGAATATTAATTTCTTGTCCATGGATGACTTGCTTTGACGTTTGTGGTAGCCTAGGAGTGGAAGGATTTTTCCCTTGACTTCTTTTAAATATTTCATTCCTTCCTAAGCCTAATATATATATTTTTCTGTAACCATCTGAAACAGTTCTTTTCTCAAATATCTGGTTAAATGCTGGCTTGCAGAAAAGCACTGAGTGGGGCGTGTGCTCCTGTGCATTGAGTTCAGCTGTCCCCTTTCCCTCGTTACGGTGGGCTCTACGTGTGGAGCCTGATGATCCGTGGCATCCCATTGACTTCGATGGCCCTGCTCTTGGTTCTGGTTCTGGTTACATCTCATCTTGCTTTGGTAATCATTCACACTCAATAAAAAGTTGCTTCCATCATCAACATTGTTGCTCTCTTTTCCCATCAGAAAGCCTACACCAACTCTGCTTCATGAAGAATTCTTGGCAGGGAATGTGCTTGGGTCTCAGTTCTTCGAGTAACCTGGCTTGCTTCTTAGAAAAGAAAGTGTGTTTCTTCATTTCCCCAATTTTTTTTTTCTTTTAAATAATCACATGCAATTAGCCACGTAGTGGAGTTCACAGTTGTGGTGTGCTCCCATTTTTATTGCTCTTCTGCTTCCCCTGGGGGCAGTGCTGTGGCTGGGGGCCAAGCAGGGCTTCTCTGCCCATGTGCCCCACAGGCAGGCAGAGCAACCTGCAAGGTTCAGCAGGGAGTTTGTAGTGGAGAAAAGTGTGGTTTGTTGGAGCATGTCTATTTAACTTGGAGACATCAACTGCTGGACTTTTTGTTTCAACAATTCTGACACATTGGGGATAATTTTTTGGGAAAAAAATGCTGGAGAAATTGCTCAGTGAAAGACTTTTAGAAATAGGAGCATAGTTAAGTATTTACACACACACATATACATGATGTACTGAATGAACACACTTCATGTGTATTTTTAGTGTATAAATTCAGTAATCCTGTGTGAAGACAATTAGCCACACTCCCTAGGCTCCAGGTGTTTCTGAAATACTGGAACTAAGTCCAGCAAGCAAAAACTGCTTACAGTCAAAATGAGAATCAATTCCTCTGTATTGTAGCACATGTACATTGCTAATCCGGCTTAAAACATCCAGCATTCACATGTGCATGTAGTTTTAGTACTAATATGTACTTCACTTGCTTGTTCATACTGGCATAAAATGGAGATTTACGTTGTATCTCCTTGAAAGGTAGAGAGTGTGTGTTAAAAACTTCACCTAGAAATGTTACTGCATAAGCTGGAGGAACTTGGTGCTGTGGAACATTATCACTTCCATGGCAAAGACTTTCTTCCTGTCACTTTTCTTTCCAGCTGGCCGGTTTTAATGGTAGCACGATGAAATAAAGCAAAACGCCATGCAAAGATTTTGCATTAATCTTTTTTTTTTTTGGAGCTGGAGGAGGCAATATTTTAAGTAAAGGAATGACAAAATAACTGTGAGAAGACAGCTGTCATTTGCAGATGTTACATTAAATCCAAATTTCTTCTGTAATTCATTGCCACTTCTAATTAGAGGAATTCCCTAGATGCAGGGGATTTATATTATTCTCTTTGTCCATTTATTGAATGACTGTCACAGTCACCCACGAGCAGTTGCAGAAGAATAATGGAGGGTATTTATTTATGTGATAAGCCTCTGTACAGATGGAAAAAATCCATAGCTTAAATATTGGTAATTGCTGCTAGCTTCTACTTAGTTTTTTTTTTTCATTTTGAGTTTGTGATAGGGAAGAGAGTTTGACTACTTGTCAATAATGAAATCTCCTATGCAGTTAATCACTGTGTTTTTCTCTGTTCTTGATATGGCAAAGCATGTTATACCTGCCTAATTGCAGGCGTTTTTCACTTTTATAAAGTCTTTGGGCCTCTTTTCTCTTTTTCTTAACGTTGCCTTTGTCTGAAGAGCCATATGCCACCAAATGACGAGATGTGGTGGGCTCCTCTGGAGGTAACCCTGCAGTAACACAGCTTGGTACTGTCCCAGTTGCCTCTGCCCACCGTACCTATGGGGCACTGCCTCAAAGAGATGCCATCTTCTTGCATTTCCTGATCTTGGATCAGCTCAACTTTTTTCTTTTAAAAGTCCATGGAAGGAGCTTATGGAATAATATCTGCAGCAAAAGCTCCTGCCAGTGGAGGAGTCAGTCAGTGAGTCAATGTCCTGCTGAGATGCAAGACAGAAAACCTCTCTGAGTATCTGCTCCACATGGAGCATTAACTTCCAATTCACAGGCAAATAATGTATATAATAAGTTCATGTTGAATATACTGTGAAATGTACAAACACACATCAAGCATAATTACAAAAGACTAAGAACTTAAAAAATAGGAGCTGAGTATTATAGTACAGATGTCAGTATGTAAAACAATGTGCTCATACTGTTTCCTGGCAAAATAGTTTGGTAGAGTTTTATTGTGGGGCTGATGCTTATTTTTCCAAACGTCAATAATCTGTATTTATATAATGCAAGATGCAACATGTGCTAGCAAGTGTGGCACCCAGCCTGCCACACTGATTCACAGCCTCTGTCTGTCTGTGATTTGCAGAGGAGACTGTGCAAACTGTTGCTTGTAATGTAGCTGAATATCTGAAGTGCCTCGAGCTGTTCAGGGTGAAGTCTTCATCTTCTTGCCTCCCTCTCACCTTCCTCAAGCAGCAGGTGCCTTGCTGTGGAAATCCCATGGGAATCAGGCTTATTGTTTACTGTTTCTGTTTTTCATTTTGGAACTTGCTCCTGTGCTTCCTTTAGCTGCCCTCGGCTCAGTTTCACATGTGCTGTTTTTATTTTGGGGTCTGCAGGTGCCATTTTTTGGTCCTCTCTTTGATGGAGCCATTGTGACTGCAAAGCTGCTGCCAAGCCTCATATGTGCCACGTGCATCAATGCCAGCAGAGCCGTCAAATCGCTTATCCCTCTCTACCAGAGTTTGTATCCTTTCCTGTTGATGATGCAAAGTTTCCCTTGGTAGGGTTCTTCTGAATATTCTGCTGCTAGGAGGTAAGCATTAGTGAAAATACTTACTGGAAAAGGTCAGAGCGTTCTGCGTGTCAAGCTCAATTTTAAGTCATTCACACCCTGCTGCCATTCAGTGCTTTAAAAAAAAAAGATCACAAGAATGTTCTCAGCAGCAGGCAAACAAGTGGATTTGGACTTACAGTGATGCTTTGAACAGTAAGTAGTGACAATGTTCCATTTTCTTTCATGGTAATGAACGTTATCTACAGCGTATGTTAAGCTAATACACAGATAGCAGTGGTGTTCTTACCTGATAAAAGAAGGTATTCCAGTTTGGTTGGTCCTGTTACATTAGTAAGACAGATGGGATTTGGCTTCTGAGACAGATATTTCGGTTCCCTAATTCCATTTTTAATCAAACACTTTCTGTAATAGGGGATTTTCAGAAAGTGTTTTCTTACAGTTGCTGGAAGATAGCTAGATGGTATCTCTTCTACAGATTGCAAGATAAACTTTTATTCTTACATGATACGCATACTAACCGGGTTATTCTGATATGATATGCAGACTAACTGGTTTCACTGTTTTTAGGATTTTCTCACAATGCCATAACTATGCTTGAAATGTCCTATAGCTCGTTTTGTTAATCAGTTTTGTCAGTAACAGCACTCACTTCGCTTGGTTTTCTTTGGGGAAGGTTCTATTTGAGAATTTTTCTACTAGTAGGAGTTTGAGAAAGAATTTAGAAGTGCTTTGATCTGTGAAACAGCATTGATTAATTACTCTGAGATGCACATTTTTAAAACACTATATTTTCCAAATATTCTTTGTTAAAAAAATGCTGAGTTTTACCCCATATGTGCTGCAGGAAATTAAACGTAGCACTGTAGTTAAATAATGTCATTCTGATTAACTTCATTATTTACCCATTCCGTGTGTAAAACAAAGCCAGTTGGTGGTTGTTGCATAACTATTTCAATTCAGTGCATCAGTTGCAAAGTCATGGCAGCACCTAACAGATGACTCAGAACTTGCCAGGTTTTCCACTTCTGTTTAATGAGAGAATTCTAGCTAATGACTGAAGTTCTTCTATGCAGAATTCAGCTTAATCCATCTGCTTGTGTAGGTAATTTGTAATAATGAGACACTGTGGTAAAAGTCACATAAGAAACTGCGCTCACTAGAATGAAGAGAGACTAATGCTGCTTTGAGTAGTGCCACCACCAACCTCAGAGCTCTGCATCCCGCTCATCTTTTGGCTTTCAGTTTGTCATCAGTTTGCTGTGCTCCCGCTTTCCTGCAGGGTCCCCTTCTGGGCCCTTCATTGTCTGCAGTGAAACTTGAGCAGCACGAACGCGACAGCACATGCCACATCTCAGCATATGTTTGAGGTCTATCTGAAACCATATCTGTCCCCAGATTCTTGTTTTTCTTTTTTGTGTCTGCTTTTGTACCAATGACATCTGTAGTGGATTGACTGCTACATCTCTATTTGATGGATGAAAGAGAGCTGAGGGATTTCTGAAACAGGACAAAGATGTCGTAGTGGGAAGGTCCCATCAGGATGGCACTGGAGCAGGAGAAAAACACATCCACAACTTCAATTATAAAAAATGAAACTTTTTTCATCGAAAGGGTCAACAGTAGTTGTTCCCTTTGAGAACAAAGATAGACTGAATATTTTTGTGAGCCAGAAGGTATAATGTAGGTTTGTACATTCCATAAAGGAGGTGTTTGAATCTGTCCAGTGCACTAACGGTGCTTTGTAGCTCCCAGAATGTGCAAGCTCAGTGAATGAGTTTGCTCCTGATGTGGCTTTGCTATGTGTAACTTGGAGGAATGAGAAGAGCAGCCCCAGAAATGTAAAAAGCAAGTAAAAGTGTTCGGTGACTTTGTCATACTGTGAAGGAAAATATCTCAAAGGTGAAATAACTCCCAACAAATAGTACGGAAGGGAGAAGTAAGAAGCAATAATCCTAGCAAAGGGAAGGGTGATGTTTGGCAGCACTTGAGACGTAACTTTTGTGGGGTCGCGTGCTGCTGGGTCTGGCAGCATCCTGTCAGTAGTGACAGCTGAAGTCACTTGTAGGGAAGTCCGCAAACTCTGGTTCCAGCTGCCCTTGTCAGAGGCTTTAAGGGAAGTGTAATCAGCCACAGAGATTAATTTGCATCTCAATTAGGAAAGAGTCAGGAGGAAGCGGTGAGGTCTGTTGCTGGAAGGTTGGGGAAGAAATCTCATCAGGCACAAAGGCTCTGAGCTGGGCGCTGCACTGAGCAAAGGACAGCATCTGAATCCAGTTTCCATGGGGACCAGGACACAGAGCTGCTTTGCACTGTAATCCCTTGGTCACGATGACACAAATTCCAGTGTTGTACCCAAATACATTTTTCTGTTGGAAATACCTTTGAAAATGAGAAGGGTAACTATGGCAGAGCACACAAGGTTGTTTAGTCTGGTTTGTGTGTGTGGGTTTAGGTGAGTGTTTCTGTTTTACAGAATTCATTAGAGCGAGAGAAATATTCATTAAAAAATAATTAACTATACTTAAACTTTTGTTTAAGGCCGTTCTGGCTGCAAGTTCTTTGTGTGTGCCAAATGACGTGTGATGGCATTGCAGGCAGGCAAAAGCAGCGTAGTTACACATAGCTGAGTTGCCTTGAATGCTTAAAGCTCAATTTTCTGTGCCACTGCTGTAATGTTTACATGTTAATGGATGATTGTACATTAGTATATGTTCAAAATAATCATTTTTTCAGGAGTGCATTCATTCTTGGTGCACTGAAGCATTGAGGCTGAGTGGCCGCAGGCCGTACTAATTGGTGCTCTCACTATCCTCAAGTAACTGTTGAGTGCAAGGTAATGTGTTTCAGCAGCTTCACCACGCTGCTTTTTTAGCCAATAATTGTTGTTTTGAGTACGTTTGTGTACTTTATGGAAATCACAAACAGTAAGGTGGCTTAAGATTACTTGGAAACACCAAAAAAGTAATGCTTAAACTTTCCTAAAATTATAGGATGAAAATGTGTGTATTTGTCCATGTTACTGGCATCTGAGCTGAGCAAATGATGATGTGAATAAACCTTGGCTGCACCAAGTGGACCCGTCAAGTTTCTGGTGGAAGTTAGGGGGTGATCTGCAGGAGCAGATCATAGCACTGCAGCAACATCACAATATCCAGGGATAGGAGAGAAGCATCAAGTACTGAGGCAGAACACTGAGATTCTGGCACTTGCAGTGCAGTGAGTGAGAGTGCGTGCCTGGGATGGAAGGCAAACTGCTCAGGCAAATGCAGTTGGAGAAGGCATCTGCTGTTTGCAGCCATGTGACTGGTCTGTTGAGCATGACCTGCTGAGCAAGAGTCCATTCAGTCCCCACTAATACTGAATGTTTCATAAAATGATGGAGGTTCTGATTTTTTACTTATAAAATACATCTTTGGTTTTTTTTTCCATTTAATATAAAATTAGTTGTGTGTCCAAAAAGCATTTCTGAACTTTTCTCCGTTCTGTACTGCCAGTTGTCCTAAGTTGCACAGTCTGTACATCACTGAGAGCTGGTCTGATCTGTAAAGATAAATGCTGGGAAAAAAAACAGGGTTTGTACTTAATACTTTATTATGTATAGTTGCTGTTTAAGGTGATAGTTACATTTCCACATTTGGAGATTTACTTGTACTTAAGCTTAGAAACTAAACCTGCAAACACTTCAGTGGTTGGTCTGTAACTTACTGCTCCAGAAAGATTTTGGCATCACGGGATAATGGTGTCTGAGCAAAAAGAATGGGAAATTCTGTTAACCTGGGGTCCATACTGTCTTTCAAAGGATGTCATTTCCTTGCTCCTTGAATTAAATTGTTCCTGCTGAGAGTTTTATAAATTAGTCTCAGATTTTACATACAAAATGTTACAGCCAGGATGCTTATTCTCTGCCATCTCACACATTTCTTAGTAACAATAGTGGTGAAGATCCTACTTTCTTTTTTCCTATTTTCATAATAATGATAGCAATAATTGTGCAAACTTATCTTCAAAATAAGACAGCTGGCTAAAAGATTGTACCAGACCTGCCTTATTTTAGAAGAGTTCTAAGTGCATCCTCACTTGAAAGAAAAGCTTGGCAGAGGTTGAGAAATGGTCACAGCGATACAGAGATGTTGGTGGATTGCTGTCACAGTGGGTGAGGTCTGTGAGGCAGACCTGTGTGCCTGAATGTACATGTGCACGTCTTTGTTTTCACTCTTCACTAAAAAAAAAGTTTCTTTTTAATTGAAAAAACAATATTCTGCCTTTTGATTCCTGTTTTTTTTCATACTCTTCTGTAGCATCTTGATTAGGGTATGATGTTGGGATGCTCTTTGGGGGAAGAAGAAATAACTCACAGGTGGGGGGCTGTGCAGACTCATCTGCTCGTTTTCTATCAGAACAGTGTTTCAGGTAGCTAGGAAAGTGTTCTCAGAGATGGAATCCTAGCAGGAGCAGCTAATATAAGCTGTGCTGCGGCTGATCCCAAATACGCTTAGTCTGGCAAGCAGGAAAAAAAGAGAAGACATCACAATTGCAGGCTGAGGTATTGTTTCCAAAGTTGTCTGCTTTTTTTTGTTGCTATTCAGTCAAAGAGGAAAATCTGAAAGTGAGATGTAAATTCTTCCTTAGTTTACCTTGGGATTCCTCAGTGCATTGCTGCAACATAATACATCTGTGCAGCAGACGCTGGCCGTGTCTGTGAGCTAGAACAAACAGAAAGCACGAGGAGGATGCATATGCTTTACATAGTATCTGAGCACTGGATGTCACCATTTCCCTGCTTAAGATTCCCAACTCTATGGGCCAGGAGAAAACAGCCCATACTTTGGAGAGGTGATTTGCTGTGTGAATAACTTGTAAAGGTTTATGCACTGTAGCAAGCATGGCATGCCTGCTTACCCATACCAAACAAGCAGCTCAAGAGGATCAAATCAAAGGCCATCTAAATA